AGAGGGCCCCAAGACGGCCCAAGAGGCGCCCAAGATGGCCCAAGAGGGCCCCAAGACGGGCCCAAGAGGGGGCCCAGAGGGGGACCACGAACCGCAAGCTCGAGCCTTCCGCCCCAAGAGGCCGCCAGGAGGCCCCCAGGAGGCCCCTCAAGAGGCCCCAGGAGACCCCAGACGTCCAAGGACGCCCCCAAGAGGCCCCAAGAAGCCTCCAACATGCGTCCCAAGAGGGCCCCTAGACGCAAAAATTGGCCCATTCCCTTCGTAAAACGTACATTTTCAACAAAGTCGCCTTTTGGGCTTTCCGACGTTACAGGACGGCCCAAGAGGCGCCCAAGACCGCCCCAAGACGGCCCAAGAAGCTTCCCAGAGGGCCCCAGGACAGCCCAAGAGGGCCCCAAGACGGCCCAAGAGGCGCCCAAGATGGCCCAAGAGGGCCCCAAGACGGGCCCAAGAGGGGGCCCAGAGGGGGACCACGAACCGCAAGCTCGAGCCTTCCGCCCCAAGAGGCCGCCAGGAGGCCCCCAGGAGGCCCCTCAAGAGGCCCCAGGAGACCCCAGACGTCCAAGGACGCCCCCAAGAGGCCCCAAGAAGCCTCCAACATGCGTCCCAAGAGGGCCCCTAGACGCAAAATTGGCCCATTCCCTTCGTAAAACGTACATTTTCAACAAAGTTGTCTTTTGGGTTTTCCGACGTTACAGGACGGCCCAAGAGGCGCCCAAGACCGCCCCAAGACGGCCCAAGAAGCTTCCAAGAGGGCCCCAGGACAGCCCAAGAGGGCCCCAAGACGGCCCAAGAGGCGCCCAAGATGGCCCAAGAGGGCCCCAAGACGGGCCCAAGAGGGGGTCCAGAGGGGGACCACGAACCGCAAGCTCGAGCCTTCCGCCCCAAGAGGCCGCCAGGAGGCCATCAGGAGGCCCCTCAAGAGGCCCCAGGAGACCCCCAAGAGGCCCAAAGGAGGCCCAAGGACAGCCCAAGAGGGCCCCAAGACGGCCCAAGAGGCGCCCAAGATGGCCCAAGAGGGCCCCAAGACGGGCCCAAGAGGGGGCCCAGAGGGGGACCACGAACCGCAAGCTCGAGCCTTCCGCCCCAAGAGGCCGCCAAGAGGCCCCCAGGAGGCCCCTCAAGAGGCCCCAGGAGACCCCAGACGTCCAAGGACGCCCCCACGACGCTTCGCGTCACCAATTTCTTCTCACAACGGTTCCTGGGTCTGTGACTCGACAGAACCTAAGCGCGCGCGAAGTGCGCGCGTGGTTCTAGTATACATGTATGTTTGCACACGTTTACGTACTCATACACATCTATATATATGTACACTACGTATTTACATACACCTATATACATAGACACTCACACATGCATATACACATGTACGCATGTTTGTATACACACGCACATACACGTATATTTATATATACATATATACATACACATATATATATACACATATATATACATATATATATACACATGCAAATGTATGTTTGCATACTGTTGACAGCACCACACATACTGCACCACATTCATTGCGCGCCTCAGCTTGCGCCCCATGCGTTACGCAGCCAGGGCGCAAGGGCACATGATTTGGGATCCACGCCGGCAAACGTCCCCTTCTTGGCAACGTGGAGCGGGGGAGGGAGCCGAGGCGAGGCGGAGGGGGGGTATTCCTCGGGTGAAGTCGCGAGAGCCCTGGCGCCCAGGGCGCTCCCCGAGGGACCTGGGAGCGGTGCAGGCACGGCGTCGGCACGGGGCCCTGGCACCGGAGACGGGAGGGCCCCTCCTCAGGCACGCCCTGGAGAAGCAGAGCACAGAAGGAGCGGCCAGTCCCACCAGGGCCCAGGATCGGCGCTCGTGTCTGTCTCCTGGCCTGTACAGGATGGCGTGCCCAGCAGGCCCAGCTCAGGATTGGCCGGGGAGCGGGTGGCGCTGGGGCCTTTTATTATCGTTGCCCTTCGTTCGATGCCTATGTCCCCGTCCTGTTGGCCACTGACGTGTTCCTCGTCCGTGGGCGGCATTCTGAGGTCTACTTGCTCAGCGACAGAGGCGCCGACTGGGCTTAGCATCGCTCGCTCGTGCGGCGGAGGAGGTCGACGACGAGGGAAGGCAAGCTTGGGAGAAGAGCAGTCGGAAACCAAGAAAAAAAGAGTTCGGAGCGGAGAAGGTGCTTGTAGCGACGGGTGAAGAGTAGGAGCAGGTACGTCTTCGAACGTGCTGCGTTGCTTGTTTTCTGTAAGGCCCCTGGCGACGGTGCACCACGAGACGCGCTTCGTGCCAGCACGCAGCTGGAGGTTGGATCGACCTCTGAGTGGTGCGAGCTTGTGAGCCGCCCCTGCCAGCTGAACAGTGCGCTGTCCCCTTCTGCCCCGACGCACTTTGCGCGAGGCGGTCCAGGACGAACGGCGACAGGCAAACGACCACTGGAACGCAGGCGTCGTGATTCGAAGGAGGAACAGACACATACATTTTGGCGCTCAACGCGTATTTCTTGGATCCGCGCTGGGTGGGACCCCCCTGGCGGCGCCTCCGGCGCCGCCCCTGGCGCGCTCTGCGCGCCAGGGAGGGGAGTCCAGCGCGGATCCGAGAAGTCCGCGCGGAGCACCAACAGTTTATGTTTATGGCGTTTTCTCTTCTTCTAGTGATCGTCGCAGAGTCATTCAGCAGTCCAGGCCCCCCCCCCCCCCGGGGGGCGCGAAGCCTGGGGGGCCACATGCGAACCCTACCCCGACCCCCCACGATTTCTGAGGGGGAGGGTGGGGTTCATTTCGTTCGGGAGCTCCTCCTCCTCCTCCTCCTTTCCCTCCGCCTACGCCTCCTCCTCCTCCTCCTCCTCCTCGGCCTGCTGCTGCTCCTCCTCCTCCTCCTCAACCTCATCCTCCTTTCCTCCTCCTCCTACTCCTCTTCCTCCTCATCTCTCGCCTCCTCTCCTCCTCCTCCTCCTCCTCTCTCCTCCTCCTCCTCCTCCTCCTCTCCTCTTCCTCCTCCTCCACTTCCTCTCCTCCTCCTGCTCCTCCTCCCCCTCTCCCCTCCTCCTCCTTTGCCTCCTCCTCCTCCTCCTCCTCCTCCTCCTATTCCTGCTCCTCCTCCATTTCCCGCCGCCTCCTCCTCCTCCTCCTCCTCCTCCTCCTCTGCTCCTCCTCCTCTTCCTCCTCCTCCTCCTCCGCCTCTGCCTCCTCTCTCTCTCTCTCTCTTTCTCTTCCCAGCAACAGCTTCGGGCGATCCCAAATGCCTCCGCGCTGCCGCGCGCGCGCCAGCGGCCGCGTGGGGGCCCAGCCTTTCTGGAGGAGGAGGAGGAGGAGGAGGAGGAGGAGGAGGAGAGGAGGAGGGTGAGGAGGAGGAGAAGGAGGGAGGAAGGAGGAGGAGGAGGAGGAGGAGGAGAGGGGAGCAGGAGGAGGAGGAGGAGGAGGAGGAGGAGGAGTGGAGGAGGAGGAAGGAGGAGGAGGAGGAGGGGAGGAGGAGGGGAGGAGGAGGAGGAGGAGGGAGGAGGGAGGAGGAGGAGGAGGAGGGGGAGGAGGAGGAGGAGGAGGAGGAGGAGGAGGAGGAGGAGGAGGAGGAGGAGGAGGAGGAGGAGCCCCCTGGCGCTGCGCGCCGAGGCTCGGCGCCGCCCGCGCGCGCCGCGGCGCGGGCCGTCGCGCCGTCGGTGCCGGCCACGCTGGGGCCCGGCGGCGCCTGCGGCGAGGCGCCGCGCCCCGCGGGGGGCGCTGCTCGCCACGAGGGGGCGCTGCTCGCCACGCGGGGGCCCTCGGGCGGAGTGCTCGTGGGGGAGGCCGTCCCGAGTCCAGCGATCGCAAACATAGACCAAGGGGGCGTGGATTAGCGGCGTGTCCCATTTCCATGGGAGACCGCGGATCTCCGCCGCCGAGCGAGGCGGCACCGGCACGCATTTTGGGAGGGTGCCTCCCCCGATCCGTGGAGTTGGCGACTACTGCGCGCCAAATCCATGGATCGCTAGTCTATGTTTGCGCGCCCCCGACTGATGTCCACGTCGCGAATCTGTTCGACTCCAGCTCTTCAAGAAGAACAAACGCCATGAGCATAAACTTGTGGCGCTCCGCGCGGATCTCTTGGGTCCGCGCCTGGGCCCCCCCTGGCGGCGCCTCCGGCGCCGCCCCTGGCGCGCGGAGCGCGGGGGCCCCAGCGCGGATCCAAGAAATCCGCGCGGAGCGCCAAAAGTTGATGTTTATGGCGTTGTTTATCTTCTTCTTCTTCTTCTTCTTCTTCTACTCCAGTTCGTTTCCAGTTCGGCCCCATTCGGCTCAGGTTCGGCCCAGCTTCGACCCAGGCTTGGCTCGGGTCGACGGACGTTCGACGCAGCTGCCACGCACCGGCGGAGCGAGCGGCTCCCGGAAGGCCCCCGGCACGGGCACCTGACTCGGGGGCCACGTGGCGGCACCGCACCGCCCGAACATGCCTTTGCTCTGTCGGCGTCGGCCCAGCACGTGCGACGCGGGCGCCCTGAGATCTCACGGTCTGTGTTCTGCTGGCCGGCGCTTTCTGGCCAGGCTGCTCCGCATCGGACTCGTGTGCTGCATGTTCGCGTCGGGCGCGCGCCTCCCATATCAACACATCGTACCAGCTATGGGCGTTGTGGGACGGGGGGGGGCGGGGGGGGGGCGCGCTCTGCCGCCCCCCCCCCCGCCCCCCCCCCGTCCCACAACGCCCACAGCTTTCCTCTGCTCCGGGAAGAGGGTGCCATTCTCCCTCCCCTCCCCCTCCTCCTCCTCCTTCTCCTCCTCCTCCTGGTCCTCCTCCTGCTCCTCCTCCTGCTCCTCCTCTTGCTCCTCCCTGCTCCTCCTCCTTGTTCCTCCTCCTCCTCCTCCTCCTGGTCCTCCTCCTCCTCCTGCTCCTCCTCCTCCTCGATCCTCGATCCTCGATGCTCGATCCTCCCTCCTCCTCCTCCTCCTCCTCCTCCTCCTCCTCCTCCTCCTCCTCCGCTCCGCGGAGCCCGCAGCGCCCGGGCGCCGCGCGCGCGCGCCCCCCCGCGGCGCCGCGCCGCCGCGCCGCGCCGCGCCGTGCCGCGCCGCGCCGCGCGGCGCCGCGCGGCGCCATGGCCGAGGCGGAGGGCGCCAGGAGTGCCGCCAGGACGCAGCGCGGGCGGGATCTCGCTCGGGACGGTCGAGATTCGGCGGCGAGCGGGCGGGGGGCGTGAGGAGGAGGAGGGCTCCCACGCGGGCGCGAAGTGATTCGCGCTGCGCGCTTCGCGGTCCTCGTTCCTTCTCCCCCTCCTCCTCGTCTTCCTTTTCTCCCTTTTGGGGGGCGGCGCGAGAGCGCGAAGTGATTCGAGCTTCGCGCCTCGCGCAGCGCGAAGCGCGAAGTTGGGAGCCCTAGAAGGAGAAGACCTTCCCAGACGGCACGAGGACTTCTCAGAAGTCCTCGTGCCGTCTGAGGAGGTTTTGTGGTGTCTTCAGGAAAGGCGGACTTCTCGGGAGGCTGGGGGACTTCCGAGCCTTCTGAGAAGGCCCGCCCTTTCTCCCTTCCCCCTGGGCGCGCCGCCTAAAGATGTTTACGGAAAGACTGGTTACGAAGACCGCCTTCATGGGCAGCGGTAGGGGGTGATAGGTGGCATAGGGGGGGAGCTGCATCGGCCCCCATCGTCCATTCATCGCCGGCAGGGGCCCGATTGCCAATTCCGGGCGCCCAAACTTGCGGGGGAGGTTGCGGGGATGATCTTGGGCGCCTCCTGGGCCGTCTTGGACGCTTTGAAGACCGAAGAGGCGGCAATGAAGCCGTGAAAAACTGCCCAGGAGGCGCCCACGAGCGCTCCAGGACGTTCCCCGGTGCCATCTGAAGCTATGTTGGACATGCATGTTCCGAGCGTAGGGGAACGAACAATGACATAAACATGACAACTCGAAGGTCCGCGCGCATTTCTCGGATCGGCCCTGTTCTCCCCTCCCTGGCGCGCGGAACGCGCCAGGTGCGGCGCCAGAGGCGCCGCCAGGGGGCTTCAGCGTCGATCCGAGAAGTCCGCGCGGACCTCCGAGTTTTGATGCTCATGTCATTGTTCGCTCCCGTAGAACAGCGAGTTCCTTGGCATCCCGAAGGGTCGCGTGGGACCCCCCGAAGGCGGCCGGGAGCGCCCGGGAGCGCCCGGGGCTCTGGCCCGTGGGCCCTTTCAGGCGTATTTGCAGAAGTCACCACATGGAACTCGAGGGGACCCTGAGGACACCGCAACTCGCGCCTCATGGCACGGCGGCGGATACACGAGAGCTCCTGGCAATCCGAGCGCGAGCGAGCCCGCGATGTACACCCTGGCAGTTCCCCTGTCGGGAGGCACCAGCGCCGTGCGCAAGTCTGAAGGTGTGAGTCTGCGTGCGAGTCTGACTGTGAGCGAGTCTGGGTGAGAGCGAGTCGGGCGGAGTATCAGTGACGGAGGGGCGAATGTGAGCGAGCCTGATCTGCGCACGAAGGGGTCTGGCTGCGAGCGGGTCTGAACGCAGGTGGGTCTGAGTGTGAGTGGGCCTGGGCATGAGTGGGTCTGAGCATGACGGAGGCTGAGTGCGTGAGGGTCCGAGGGGAGGGCAGGGGAGGGGAGGAGGTGGGCGAAGGCGGGAGCATCACGCTGCCGACATCGACCCCGTGCTCGGTGCACGAGGAGCCCCAAGCACACCTGCACACCGCGAGCTCGTCGTGTTCGCAGTCGTGCGCCACGCGGAGGCACATGTTCGGGGAAAGCCTTAGAAAGTTTCGATGTCAGGGCCCAGGTTTATGATGCTCCAACCTGCTTTAGCCTGGACCACCGGAAAGAGTTGTTGACGCTTCGCGAATCCCCACCAGTCCATCCAGAAACGATGCCCAGAGGAATTGCCTCGATCAGGGAAGTGGGCAGCACGCATAGGAAGCCATTATGAGACATCTTGGTATATCTTGAGTCATCTTGAAGGTCATTTGGGGCTCTCCCAGGCGCTCTTGGAGTCATCTTAATCAGTGCCCCCCCCAAAGAGGCCAACATGTGGCTGAACCTTCGTAAAATCAATGATGCATCATTCTCGCCGAGGCCTCTTTGAGCATCTTGGGTGCCTCTGGGGGGTCTCTCGGGGCCTCTGGGGGGTCTCTCTGGGGCCTCCTGGGGCCCTCTTGGGGGCCTCTTGGGCCATGGCCATCTTGGGGCCACCTTGGGACCTCTTGGGGCCTCCTGGGCGCTTCTTGGGGCCATCTTGGAGGAGAGCGATCAAACAAGAGGGGAGCTTTAATTAGGGTTCCCCCCCTCAGGAGGCCAAAATGGGGCCAACACCTTAGTACAACCAATGATTTTGGCTTCCTCGCCGAGGCCTTTTTGGACGCTCCGACACCTCGCGACACCCCCTGTCCAGGTCCAGGGGAGGGGGCAGGGGGAGGGGTAAACCCCTCCCCGAAGGGGAAGAAGGAGGGGTGGAAGAGGAAACTCCCTAAACCGCCGACGCCCAGAGGGCTGGTGGGATTTCGAGCACCAGGGAAGTAGCGACACTTGACAATCAGGGTCTTCCCATGTCGGGCCCTGGGAGGCGATACTCGTTCGACACTGTTTCGATACTTCTTCTGGGTGCTCGAGGTTGTTTCTGGGGTGCTGTCCTGGAGGACGAGGTGGGCAACCGGAGCCCCAATCGTGTTCTCAGTGGCTCGGCGCGCTCGCACGAGCGGGGCCGTGCTCGACCTGCCCGCCAGGAACCCCACAGCGCGGCAGCGCTGGGGCAAGGCCGGCGCCCTCGCCAAGAACATGGTCCGGCAGGCAAAGGTCGTGGCGGACGTGACCTCGGCCTTGGCTGCCGAGTCAGGCGCGCGGGCTTTCTCCTCTGCCTCCTCCTCCTCCTCCTCCTCCTCCTCCTCCTCCTCACTGTATCCTCCTCCTCGTTTTCCTTTTCCTCTTTCTCGCCCTCCTCCTCCTCCTCCTCGCCCTCCTCCTGCTGCTCCTGCTCCTCCTGATCCTGCTGCTCCTGCTCCTCCTCCTCCTCCTCCTCCTCGTGGTTGCCGAGTCGGGCGCGCGGGCCGTCGAGCAGTGGCGGTGGCGTCCCGGCTCGCCCTAGAGGTCCTACCAAAAAGCGTGCTCTACTAACGCCTTCTGCGGCCTGCACGGCACATGCTCTTGGAGCATTTCTTGGCCGAGTCTGTCTTGTCTTAACACCTCGGGCTTATGGTCTAAGAACACTGCTCAGAGCGTGACTCACCTCCCCCGGCGTTCGCTTCCAGGCAAAAGCAAGTCATACCACGCGCCTCACCGTCAAGCGGCCCGACCAGCGCAGGCCGCAGTTTGGCATCGTTTGGTATCTCCTGGAAGCGAGGGTGGTCAAAAGCGAGGTAGGTTTGTTTTCCCCCAAATTGTCTTTGTTATGAGAACACTTTTGAGGCTCTAAGAACGTTTCGTGGTAGGCTCATCGGGATGCCGGGACGGTCGGTCTCTGCTCAAGGCTGGTCTTTGTTTTGCCCTCCCTCTGCGAGCACTCCGCCAGGCTCTTGCGAACATCTCCCAGGAGTTGCCTCCCACCATCCTCGCGCCCCTGCGCCTTCCCCCAGCCCTTGGTGCAAACCCTGGAAAGGGGCTTTCGGGGGACGAAGACAGATGAGGTCGGAGCCTGTCTTGGGGCCCTGTCTGAGCCGTCTTCGGGCCCTCCTGGGGCCCCGCAGAGCTCGTCTTGGGGCTCTCTCGGGGGCTTCTTCGACTGCCCTGGGGCTATCTTGGCGGCCCATGGGGCCGTCTTTTCGGCTGCTGGGGCCCGAACAGGCAAGGCATTCGATGTTGGCATCTTCGGCCCCCATTTGCGAGTCTCTTCAGGGCCGTCTTGAGGCTGTCTTGGGCCGTCTTGACCTTTGGCAGTTTGAAGGGGTCTTGCCTTTGAGTCATCTTGTTGCCATGCTTGGTCATCTTGGCTGTCGTGGAGGCCCTCTTGATGCTGTCTTGAGCGGGACATCCGATGGAGGCAGTATTTCCCGCTGGGCTGGCGGGATGAGCCGAAGGCCATTGAGAGTTTCGTATAATGACAACTGGGCTCGCACATCAGGTATGCCAAGCACTCCGTCGCAAGCGAAGGGGCAGTGGATTTAGTGGCCTTCGACCCATCCCGCCACCGTGCCGGGGTCGTGGCTGCCCCTTGGGGTCTCTTCGCAGCCTCATAGGGTCCTCTCTGGGACCTTCTCGGGGCCCTTTAGAGGCCTCTTAGCAGCCTGCTGGGGATCTCTTGGGTGCCTCTGTGGCCCTCTGTGTGGGGCTCCATAGGGGGTCCTTGGGGCGGTCTCGGAGCCCCTCGTGGGGTGAATTGCCTCTTGGGTTCCCCTCAGGGGCCGTCTTTGGGCCCTCTTGGGGTTTTCTTGGGGACCCCTTTGGCCTTTTGGGTTGTCTGGACGCTGTTAAGGCTGAACTGGCGAGTTTGCTAGAATTTTACAACAACCCATGGCTCTTCAATGAGTCAGCTTTCTTGGGCCAGCCCCCAAGGCGTCCAAGACGGCCAGACAGGCCCCCCCAGAGAGTCCCAGGACGGATGGTCCCCTTGGGCCACCTTGGAACACGCGGGACGCGTGGACTCCGAACCACGCTCCCGATGCTTTGATAAACGTCCAGCGAGGAACCTTTGGAACGTTCGGCCACGTCCAGGTATTCTGGGAATCTGGAGTCCGTGGCTCTGAAAGAGTACTCACCACATCCAGCCCATACCTCGGCGGGACCTGATGACACTCCACACTGTGCCCACGCCACGGTGGCGGATATCCATCAAGGATTACGCTCAGCCAGCGTCAGGATATCTGTGCACGTTGTGTTTGCGAGCTCGCCTAGTGTTCAATGTTGGTACATCGGCACGTGCGCTGACATAGTTTTTGGCTCATGGTGCTGCAAACTAGGAGGACGATAGTAACGATGACGAGGACGAAGATAACAAAACAGGTCTCAGGCACGGAGGTGGCGGAAGACAGGGAGGAGGTAAACGAGACGAGGAGAGCACGCAGGAGGCAGAAGAGGAGGACGGGAGATGCGGGTGAAAAGGAGCGGGATGATAGGAGGAGGAGGGATGAGGAAGAGGAGGTTGAGGAGCCGACGCCTTCGATGTTTTGACGCAGCACACAAGCAGCCCCTGTCTCGACTGATGCACGATGCAGTGGGGGCGCTCATCAAGAAGCCATTTGCTTTTCGTCAGGGTACCCTGGGTCTCTTCGCTCCGCGCGCTGCGCGGTGACTTCCCGCAGCCGTTGGAGAAGCTGCTGCGTTCAGGGTGCGCCAGGCTTCCCCTCGGGTGTACCCCGTGCGCGGGTTTGCTCAGGGCTGGGTTTCCTGCGAGGGTTCCCTGCGGCCGCGCCCGCACTGTAGTTCGCGCTGTTCCGCTCCAGCTCGCGCCGGAGCGACTGCCGGGCCACGCGCGTGGCGGCGGCAGGCTCGTGCCGTGACGGCGCGGCGGCGGCGGTCCCAGCGGTGTGGCGCTCGGCGCGCTGAGCGACGCCAGTGGCCCAGAGTCCGCCGGCATCGAACGATGAATGCAATGTTGATGCGATCCACAAGGGCGCCCTCGAGGGCGCGAAGTGATTCGCGCTTCGCGGTTCGGCTCCGATTCCTCCTCGTCCTCTTCTTCTCCCCTGGGAGGCGGCGCGAGAGCGCGAAGTTTCTCGCACTTTGCGCTTCGCGCTGCGCGAAGCGCGAAGTTGGGATCCCTTGGATCCACGCGGAGTCAGGAGCCAACGCCGACGTCGTGACGACACGAAGCTGCTGAATGGTGTGCGTCTCGTCATTTGGTCGATCGCTTCGCCTCGCAGCGTCAGCAGGCGAGTGGCCGTTCTACCTCACAGCGCCGAGGGGCGGGGCCAAGATCTACACGACGTCAGAGATGGTGGACCAGTTCATCGACGACGATGTGATGCAGCAGCTGGAGAACAGGCGTGGCCATCTCGTTATCCTACCTGCAGCCTTCAAGCCCAACCGTATTTCCATTTCCCTACCCTGTACCCGTCTCTCCTGTGGCCTGAAGCACAGACGCACCACCTCGAATCTTGTTGGAATGTCGAGTTAAGACGTTCTAGCATCCGTAGCATTTTTGGCTCAAGGGGAATAACCTGGCCCAAGCCAGATTTCATCAGCCAACTTGCGAGTCACTGCTGTCTGTGCGGCTTGCAAACCGCGAAGCCAGCCTTCACGAAGATGGAACGCCGCCTGGTCATGCCGATAAGTTTAGGGTTTAGTGCTTAGGGTTGACTCTGTTGCTGCTGGTGCGTGAAAGCCTGTTGAGGCATGTGAACTGTCTGAGGCTTTCTGGTGGAGTGTGTACCAGGTTGGCAACGCCGTTGACGTGGGGCATACACGGCACTGGAAAGTGCAAGGGCACTGGGACGTCGGACTTGTCTGGTCTGACCGTCGCTGATTGCGCCAGCTTGTGTGCGCAGACGAGCAGTTGCTACTTCTTGAGTCACTCCCCGACGGAGTGCAAGGTGAGTCCTGGCTCTGACAGAATTAATCCTTTCCTATCGTCCTTTGCAGTCTACCAGCTGTATTTCAATCATGGAGTCCACGACGCAGGAATGTGCAAGGGCACTGGGACGACGGACACTTCTGGACTGACCGTTGATGGGTGCGGCAGTCTGTGCTCGCGGTCGGGCGGCTGCCAGTTTTCCATCCATTCTCCGACGGAGTGCAAGCTGAGTGAGATCTGCGACAGAATCGACTCCTGGGCGATGGGCTTCAGCATCTAGCTGCCACTCGGCATTGATTCTAGCGCCCGCCTTCGCTCTGGGAGCCCCGACGACGGCGCCCACCCCGGCGACCTGCGCACAGCTGCACTCGGGGGGGCTGTGCCAAGGAACCCCGTTGTCATTTCCCACCGCGGCCAACCCGCATAGCAAGCATGGGCAATTTCCCTGAGGGCGCCCTTGCATCCTCGCCTCCTCGGTCCACGCTTGGCCGCTTTCGCTGGCCGCGCCCCGCCCGCAGAGTGTTAACATGGCCTGCCAAGGCCCTTGCATCTTGCATGCTTGACGGCATTATCCCTTCTCCCCCATGTCATCGGCGAAGCCCACTGACCATGAGACATCAACGGAACATCTTGCAGGGATTTTGAATATTCAGGCAAAAGACTAAGGCCCTAGGCACCCAACTCTCGCATCCTCATGTCACGGGCCGACATTGAGACCCGCCCCGTGCCCTCGCCCAGCTGGCCCCGCCGGTTCCGCCCTTGAGGGGCCCTCGTGCGCGCTCCGCCCTGATTCATGCTGCCCTGTCGAGACCCGGCTGGGGGGGGGGGCGTGACCCCCCCTTCGGATGCAAGCAACTCTTGGGAGGCCAAATTCTGATTCAGCCCTGGTCCGAAATCCCATTTCATCCGGCCTAATCCCGCTCAGTCCCGCTTAATCCGGCTTTATCCTGCTTAGTCCTGCTTAATCTGGCTTGATGCCGCTTGATCCGAGGCCCACTCTGGCTCCACAGCCCCCCAATGGGGCTTCATCCTCCTCAGTCATTCCGACGAAAAGCCTCCCAGCAGTTGCCTCCTACCCCCCCGGCCGCGCTCTCCTGCCGGCCGCGCCGGGCCCTGCCGCGGAGACCATCGCGCGCCCGCGGGCGCCCCGCAGGTGCGTGTGCGCGCTGGACGTGGACGACGAAGTCCTCGACCTGCTCAAGACCATGGGGGAGCGGCCCCCGGGCCCCCAAAACTCAGGAGGGAAAACACACACAGACACAATTCATCGTCGATTCCCACGAACATGTGGGAAACTATGGGAAGTGTGTGTGGGGGGGAAGACAGAAACCCAGAACATGTGGAAACATATGGGGGATCCTGTTACTTGTGTGTACTTACTTGTGTGTGCCAGGGCCCCTTCAAAAACGGGGCCCTCGAGAGACCGCCCCAGAGCAGCCCGAGGGTCCCCCGAGGGGGCCCACGAGGAGGCGCAGCCCCCGAGGGGCGCGCAGGACGGCTCCGAGAGGGGCATGCCGCGACTTTCCCCGCCTCTCCCCTCTCCTCTTCCCGTCCCCCCTCCCCGCCCCTCGCCTCCCCTCTGTCGAAGAAAAAACACCATACAGTGGAGACCCATGCCAAGAAACACCCTGTCTGCCTCCAGGGTGCCCTGGGTTCCTTGGGTGTCGATGGCTTTTCTATTGAGAGCGTGACGTTCCCACACCCAAAAAAACAATGGTCGTCCTGAGATCTCAGGGTTGAGTTTCTTGTGGAAGGTTTCTTGTGGACTGGCCTCCACTGTAAACATAAACTTTCGGCGCTCCGCGCGGATTTCTTGGATCCGCGCTTGCCCCCGCCCTGGCGGCGCTTCTGGCGCCGCCCCAAGCGCGCTCCGCGCGTTTGGGAGGGGGGTCCAGCGCGGACCCAAGAGATCCGCGCGGAGCGCCAAAAGTTTATGTTTATGAAGTTGTTTCTCCTTCTACTCGGCCCTCTCCTCTGACTTCCCAAAAACTTATGTTTACAAAGTTGCTTCTCCTTCTACTCGGCCCTCTCCTCTGCCTTCCCCCCCGCCACCACGCACCAACACAACCCAAGCACTTGAGCCATGTCGCAGGAGCGCGCGCTGCCATTTTGCAGCCCTCCGCCCCTTGAGCCCCCCCGAGACCGCCAGGTGGAGGAAGATCGAGCAGGAGGAGGAGGAGGAGGAGGAGGAGGAGGAGGAGGAGGAGGAGGAGGAGGAGGAGGAGGAGAAGGAGTAGGCGGAGAAGGTTCATCTAGAAGGAGGAGGAGGACAGAGGTTGGGTCCAACGCCGACATCGGCGATGTGCCTCCACCGAGGGAAGGCGATCCCGTTTTGGTGTTGGTGCGTCCCCCCCCCCCGGTGGACGCAGCCCCCCGTTTTGGTGCTGGTGCCCAGTTCCAAGCCTCCGGTCTGGATCCACAACTCTTGGGGCGCCCTCCGGTGTCTGCGGCGCGAGTCTGAGGCGCAACGATGGGGGGGGGGGGGGACGGGAATCGGCTCCCGGGGGGGGGGGAAACGCGTCGACCTCCGATCTCCCATCCCCTCGCGGAGATGGGGCCCGATGAGGACGACGTGGGGCTGATGAAGGGGGGGTGAACCCCAGGTCGCCCACGCATCGCCGACGGCCGATCCCAGACCCCCTCGAGGCATGACAAAAATCGCGACGGGAGGTTGTCAGGAGGGAAAAAACACACAGACACAATCAATCGTCGATCCCCCAGAAAATATGGAAAAATATGGGAAGTGGTGGGGAAGACAAAAACCCAGAAAATATATAAAAATATGGAGAATCTTGTTATTTGTGTGTATTTATTTGTGTGTCCCAGGGCCCCTTCAGGTTGTTCGCTAATTTTCTGCCTCGGGGGGCCCTTACCAGGCCTCGGGGCTGTGAACACACGACTCGGGATGAAAGACCGGTCCCGGAGGAGTGGGCGAGGCCCCTGGGGGTCGAGGTCATACGAAAAAAACATGGCGTCGGGGGTCCTGGGATGGTGGCCTTGGTGCAGTCAACCCGCATGGTAAAGAGGGGCAGCCTTCCCGGCGGCCCCCTTGCATCCTGGCGTCCTCGGTCCACCATTCGCCACGCGAGAAGCTTCGGAATGGGCCTCCCAGGCCCTAAGGATCCTCATGGCGCATCCTTGCTCTGCCGTGTGGCTGCGGCCCGCCCCGCCCAGAGAAGTGTGCGGTGTCGCGCCTGGGGGGGGGGGTCCGACACCGATCGCGTCGGCGACGCCTCGCCGATTCCAAGTCGCCGCTCCCCCCCCCTCGGAGCAGAGTCCCCGCCCGTCGCCCCCTTCCTCCGTGAGGGGGCGGAAGGCAGCCCGGGGCTGGACCTCTACACGGTGCTTTGGGCGACTGCGCGGGGCGCTTTCGTTCCGACCTCTCCTCGCGGTGAAGGGCAATGTTGAGCTGCACCGCCAGTGCTTCGCTCTCCTGGGGCCTTGCTGTGCTCCTGCTCGTTAGCATGTGTCATGTGTGCGGAGCTGCACTGCCAGTGCCGCGCTTTCCTGTGGCTCTGCTGCGTTCCTGCTCGCAACGCGCACCGCCAGAGGCGGCGGAGAGCTTGCGAGGTCCACCCACCACACGTGCGGATGGAAGCCAGAACGAGGGAAGACGAACAAACAGCGAAGGCGAAAAGCACCGCTGAGGTTCAGCCCCCTGGACGGCAGCCTCTCTCAACGCGCCTCGCGCGGCGCCGTGGTGGTGGGGGGGTCGCGAAGGCCGCGCGGCCCGGGGCCCCCGAGGCGGAGGGCCCGACCCCTGCCCGGGGGCCAGCTCCTCGGGCGCCTCGGCAGGCGGCGGACACGGGGACGTCCAGTGGAGGCCGATGCCAAGAAGCACCCTGCCTGCCTCCAGGGGGCCCTGGGCTTCTTTCGACGGTTCGGCTGTGGACTCAGGGGCAACGATTGGGAGGGGATAGGCATAGAGGGGGATGCATCCACCCCCAATCGCCCATGGATCGCCGATGGGGGCCCGATAGCCCCAACCTGCCCAGTAAGGTGCGGATTTAGTCTCGGAGGCCTGTCGCCGATCTATCGGCGATGTATCGCCGATTCCAGGTCGATGCATCCCCCCTTTATGCCAATCCCCCCTTATCGTTGCCCCTCATGGAAAGGGAATGACGTCCCCACGCCAAACATCAAGGGACGCCCTGAGGTTTGAGGGTTGAGCTTCTCGGGGAAGGTTTCCTGTGGGCTGGCCTCCACTGTGCTATGGCCCCCCGGCGCCTAACTGGTGTCCATGCCCACCGCCCCCCTGGGGGCCCCAGGGCAGCGGCTCCCTGGCGGGGGCTGCGGACAACTGCCCGCTTCGCATGGGGGGGGGGCGTGCCCCTCCCCGCCGTCCGTGCCAGCCGCCGCCCCTCTGTCCGCATCGTGCCCCCCCCCCCCCCCCCCTTCCTCCTCCTCCTGCCCCTCCTGCTCCTCCTGCTCTCCTGCTCCTCCTGCTCCTCCTGCTCCTCTCCTGCTCCTCCTGCTCCTCCTCCTCCTCCTCCTCCTCCTCCTCCTCCTCCTCCTCCTCCTCCTCCTCCTCCTCCTCCTCCTCCTCCTCCCCCTCCTCCTCCTCCCCCCTTGTGCCCGTGTGCCCCCTTTTGCTGGGTCACCCACGGGTGCGCGCAACGACGAGCGTGCTTCGCGCGCCTCCCAGCCGGGGCCGCGAAGGGTGCCCTTCTCGGGGGCGGCTGCGCGAGCGCGCGCGGAGGGCCGCGCGTCGTGCGCCGCGGAATGCGATGCTCGAAGTCAGGCGGCCTGGCCGCCAGGCGACGGGATCTGCAGATCCGTCCTCCTGCTCCTGCCTCCGGCGCGCGGTCTCGCGCGCCTCGCCTCTCGTCCGCCTCTCGCCCTCCAGCGCCTCGCGCTCGCGCCGCCGCCCCTCCTCTCCTCGGCCTGGTCGGGGACGCACTGCTCCTGCGCCGGGCGGCAAGTTGGCCCTGGCCGGGCCCATCCTCGGCACGGGGCCTGTGTGCTGGTGCACCACTTGGGCCGGGGCACGGGGGCGCATGCATCGATCCGGGGCCCAGGAGCTGGGCCCAGCCAGGGCCGCCTCTGCGCGCGTGCATTTTTTGGGCGCCCCCGCGGCCTCTGCCGAGGAGTCCACGGTGGACGTGGTCTTCGACGCGCACGCCCAGGTCATCGAGTTCCTGAGGGCCCGCCGCGCGGCCTCGGCGCGCAAGAGCCTGGACGTGGGGCTCGCCAACCGCAGGACGGCCCGGCGGTCGGAGGAGGCGGAGGAGGAGGAGGAGGAGGAGGAGGAGGAGGAGGAGGAGGAGGAGGAGGAGGAGGAGGGAGGAGGAGGAGGAGGTGGAGGAGGAGGAGGAGGTGGAGGAGCGGAGGAGGAGGAGGGAGGAGGAGGAGGAGGAGGAGGAGGAGGAGGAGGAGGAGGAGGAGGAGGACCTCCTCATCCTCTTTTCCCCCGTCCTACATATGGTAGCGGCGGTGGGACATCACCCATCGGAGTGGGTCCCGCGCCGCCGCGCGGAGGCGGCGCTCCGGGGTCCAGCTGCCGCCCGGAAGACGCGCGGGCAGCCCGCAAAATTCGAATCAAGTGGAAGCTCATGCCAAGACACACCCTGCTTGCCTCCAGGGTGCCTCTACAGGCCTCCTAGGTGGGGTCGGAGCAGGTGGGGTCGGAGGATCGCGCCGCATCGCCGATGCATCGGCGATGCGGCTCGATGCGGAGCCCGATTTGCTTCGCGCCCGCGTCGCCGATGCATAACCGACGTCGACGATGCATCGCTGGTGCATCGCCGATTCATCGCCGATGCATCGCCGATGTATCGACGATGCGGCGCGATCCTCCGACCGCATCTACTCCGACCCCATCTAGGAGGCCTCTAAAGAATCACCCTGCTTGCCTCCAGGGTGCCTTGGGTTTCTTGTGTTTCGGTGGTTTAGCTGTGGAAAGCGTGGCATTCCCACATCAAAAGTCAATGGACGTCCTAGGGTCTCAGGGTTTGCCTTCTTGTGGAAGGTTTCTTGTGGTCGAGCTCCTGCTGTATTGTCGATGGCCTCCTAAGGCTCTCTGGGGCCGTCTTCGGTCGGGCCGTCTGGGGGTGCTCTCGGGCCCCCTGGCGTCTTCGGAGACCGTCTCGGGGTCCTGCCTGGGCCGTCTTGTGGACCCCCCGGGGGCTCTCTGGGGCCGTCTTGGGGCTCCCTGGCGCCGTCTTGAGGCCCTCTTGGGGCTGTCTTGGCCTTTTGGGCCGTCTCGGGGCCATCCTGGGAACCCCCTGTGCCACGAAACTCGGCGCTCCGAGCCGGGAGAGCACACGAAGCTCACTGCAAAACCTGTTGGGCATCAGCGATTTTGGCCTCCTGGGGGTTCTCTTCCCCTGAGTCGGGCATGTCCCTCCACAGGAGGCATATTCAAGAGTGGTCAAGACATAGTCTGGGTACGATGTGTCGTCTATGTGTGATGCGTTGGGCGTTTTTTGTGTTGTTCTTTCTTTTTTTCTCCGACCCAACTCTTGACTCTTTGCCAATGGAGGACAGGCCACCCGGACCGGACAGTTGGCGTTTGCTACACGGCCCTGGGCGTTCACTAGACAGCCCTGCCCTGCTCGGCTCCTTCAGCGGGGGCGTTGAGTACACGGCCTCGCGTGTCGGGGTGGCTGTTGCCGGGGTACTCCAGATTTCGTAGTAGAAGGGAGGGGGTCTGGACCCTCCAAGACAGGCCATTTCAGACCTCCCCCGTGGGAGAACCCTCCAAAACATCGTCCCCAGACCCCCCAGGCCCTCCAAGATAGCCTGGAAGAGACCCCCCCCCGAAATGAGACCCCCCTCCCTTTGTTACGAAATCTGGAGTCGATTTCCCGCCCTCTACTTTGGGCTGCCTCGGGGCCGTCGTGGGCCGTCTTGGGGCCCTCCCTGTTGGGATCGCCTCGGGCCCGCGGCAGCGGCACGGAGCACGGCGCGCGCGCGCGCCCCACGCGGGGCACGCTGCCCGCGCAGCCAGCGCGCGGGCGGCGTGCCCTGCTCGGAGGGGCTGCGGGCTTGCACTTCGGCCCCGCCGATGGGCCGTTTTGCCACCACCACCACCACCACCATGAGTTGGAGGGGGAGGGGGTCCTCCTCCTCCTTCTCCTCCTCCTCCTCCTCCTCCTCCTCCTTCTCTTCCTCCTCCTGCTCCTCCTCCTCCTCCTCCTCCTCATGGTCCTCCTCCTGCTCCTCCTGCTCCTCATCCTTCTCCTCCTCCTGCTCCTCGGAGGGGCCGCGGGTTTGAAGTTCGGCCCCGCGGCCGACTTGTTTCGGTAGCAACTCAATGGGAGCCTTGTGAACCCTCGCAATTCTGTCCTTAGCCTCGATTTTAGCGTCGATCAGTGCCTGCGAGTCGATGAGATAGCGCCGATTTAGTGTCGACTAGCGTCGACTTAGCGTCGATTAGCGTCGATTAGCGTTGTTTCGGTAGCGACTCGTGTGAGCCTTGTGAATCGAGCAGTGGCGAAGCGTCCTGGCTTGCTTGTAGGCTCATCAAACAATGGTCTGAGAACCCTTTTGTGGTCTGCGCGAGATGTTTTTAGGACACTGTTGGCTGAGACCGTCTTGTTTGAACACATCGGGGTATGGCTTACGAGCATTGTATTTGGGGCTTTTGAGACCATTGCCGTGGTAGGCCTGTAGAAATGCAGGGACGGTCGGTCCCTGCTCAAGTGAACCCTCATAATTCTGTCCTCAGCGTCGATTTTAGCGTCGATTCGTGTCTGGGAGTCGATGAGATAACGCCGATTCAGCGTCGGTCCGCGTCGACCTGGCGTCGGCTTAGCGTCGATCAGCGCCGATCCTGGCCCCGATTGGCGTCGATTCGATTCGCGAGAGCCGACAAGTCGATTCGATTCGCGAGAGCCGACAGGACGGTGTGGGAGGCTCCCCGTGCGTTGCCGCCGGAACCCGTGGCCACGGCGGCGCCCCGTGCAGGCCGTGCGCCTCTCTCCTTGGGGCCTCCCCCCCCCCCCCCGGGCCCGGCGGCAGGACGAGCCTCGCCCTGGCCCAGGAGGAGGGCTCCGGCCGCCCGCTGCCGCGCGTTTCGGGCGCGGGGGGGGAGGCGCGCGCGGAGCTTTCCGGCCAGCGGCGGGGGGAGCACGCGGGCGAGCACGGCCGGCGGTCGCAGGCATGGGCTCCAAGGGGGCGGCAGGCGATGGCAAGCATGGGGCCACTTGGGGGGGGGGCGGAGAGCGAGCGAGGCGCGGAGGGGCCGGGGCGAGCGCGGAGGCCCCGGGAGCCGCCGAGGCGCGGAGAGGGAGGGGGGGGCTCTCGGAGGGGGGGGGCAGCGAGCAGGAGGAAGGGGCGCGAGGAGCGGAGCGGGCAGAGGCAGGAGGTCCGAGGCCCGAGAGCCATCGCTTCACGAGTTTTGGGCCCACGGAGGCCCACGGAGGCCCCGGGGGCCCCAGATCAGTGAGGTGATGTTTGTTCCCGCGCGAGGACCCCGACATTCATCACCTCACTAGACCGAACCCAGGACGAAAGTCAGGGGCCGAATCGCTGCTGTGAAGCAACATAGGTCTCGCAGGAGGGCGCGGAGCGGGGCGGGAGGAGGGAGGGGGCGTGGAATAGCCACGGGTCCCGTTTCCACAGGACATCGCGGACATCCGCCGCCGAGCGAGGCTGCACCGGCCGCATCTTGGGGAGGGCACCTCCCCCGATCCATGGATTTGGCGACCGCGCGCCAAATCCATGGATCCCTAATCCATGTTTGCGCGCCCCCGAGAATGGTGGGGAGGCGACGAGCAGTAGTTTCAGAGGAGGCGCAGCTCGGGAAGCCGGTGCGTCTGGACCCTCGGGGTCTGGGGTAAAACAGGGCTAGGATCGGGATAAATCGCTCCAGAGCGCTCCGGAGCGCTCTCAGAGCGTGCCGGAACGCTCCGGAGCGGCCGCGGCGCCCAATACGTCCTCCAAGCCCGCCGACTCTCAGAGATTTCGAGTTATCGCGATCCGATTTTGTCCCGATCTTCGCGTCGTTTTGTGGGGTCCGAGCTCGAGCTGCCGCTGGCTCCGCGCGCCCTGCTCCGAGAGGCGGCCGACGCAGGCCGAGCACGCAGAGGACAGCAGGGGCAGAGGCGGGGAGCTCTGCGCTCGGCTGCCGCAGTGTGGGAGCTGGTGGGGGCGAGCACACGTGGAGGTCAGGGGGAGGTTTGGGCCTCCTCCTCCTCCTCCTGCTTCTCCTCCTCCTCCTGCTTCCCCTCCTGCTTCTCCTCCTCCTGCTCCTCCTCCTCCTCCTCCTCCGCCTCCTGCTTCTCCTCCTGCTCCTCCTCCTCCTCCTCCTCCTCCTCCTCCTCCTGCTCCTCCTCCTCCTCCTCCTCCTCCTCCTCCTCCTGCTCCGCCTCCTGCTTCTCACCTGCCTCTTCCTGCTCCTGCTGTGTCTTCCCTCTCCTCCATCTGCTTCCCCGCCCTCCTGTTCCGTTCCACAGCTCACGGCTGTCCCCGTATCCGGGGAATTTGGAGGGAGGAGGCGCGGGGCGCTCGGGCTGCCCTCGGGTCGTGAAGCACAGCCCGACGGGGAGCGGTTCCCTAGATGTCTTCGGCCGCTCGGGCCCCTCGCCAGGGCCGCCGTGGAGCGTGTGGCACGGGAGGACGAATCACCCGGACCGGACAGCTGGCGCATGCTTGATGGTTTGGGCGTATGTTCTGTCGAATCTGTATTGTTCTGGTTCTTCCCCACTCCGCCTGTAGGGGGGACCTGCCCGACCCACCTCTCGACTCTTTGTCGAGGGAGGAAACACCACCCGGGCCAGACAGTTGGCGTTTGCTAAACGGCCTTGGGCGTTTACTGAACAGCCCTGCCCTGCCTGATTCTTTCTTTGGGCGCGTTTACTAAACGGCCTCGCGTGTCGGGGTGGTTCTCATCGGGGTGGTTGTTCTGCCTTCTGGTGTGGAGGTCAGGGTGACACAGAGCGGAGGTTTGCCGCAGAGATGGCGCGCGGCAGGGAGTCCCAAGTCGCGGGGGAGCGTGCGGGGACTTGGCTCGAATGCCACAGCGCTTTCGACACAGTGTATCAGGTACGTACGGTGAAGCAGTATGCTGTACGAGTCAGCTTGGTGTGACTACTCGTTGCACTCTGAGCAGTCGTTTTGGGGGCGGGGGGGGGCGATGCGGGGGCAACGTGTGTTGCAGATTTAGCTATGCTTACATGCCCGTAATGTGCTTGGTGTGTCCTCTGAAGCATCTCATAAGTTGATTCAAGGCACCGTCTTTTCGGACACAGGGCTGGACCTAAACGCTGGTTCGCTGGACTTCGGCTGCGTGTTGCTTTTCGTTTCGGTAGGGAGGTACAGGAAACCAGGTAGAGCAACACGACAAACAAAACGAAACACAACGAACAGCAACGTTCAGGTCCAGCCCTGTTCGGACAGTCCCAGCCATTCGGGACCTTCTCGCCACGCGCTTTCTCCAACTGCAGGTGACCATGTTGGTGCAACACCACTGGGCCGCAGATCAATGCAGGCCCTGCGAGCCCAGCATCCCTAGACACCAGAGGTAAGATACCATTTCAGGGGCTAACACGCCAGATAGCGAGTGCCTTAAGCATCGCGGTCGTCCGTGTTCGGTTAATGCTGCCAGCGATCTGCGTGAGTAGCCCCAGCGAGGATGTCGCTGCACAGGCGCGTCGGGGACTGAGCTCAGGACCAGAATCAGATCGTGCGCCCGAACCTCCAGCTCACGAGCATCTCCTTCCGCCCTGGCGCCGCTCTGGAATGGCAGGTTCCAGGGAGCGCGTGGGGCAGGGTGAACGGATATCGATAGGCTTGTCTTTGTTCTCGCACCTGGCCAGTCTTAGCTGGACGCGGCTGCGCTGCCGCGCAAGTGGCGCAGCTCTCTGACGCGCACTGGCCGGGGCCGCAGCTGCGGATAGCCACGAGCAGGGGCCAGGGCCCTGCCAGCTCCCGCCCTGTGTCGGCCTGTCGACGCCGTCGGGCAAGTTGGAGCTCTGCGCATGTGCTCTTCCTCAGGAAGAGCACGTGCGTGCCATCTCAGTGCCACGGAAGGGTCTCCATCTAGGCCTCCCAGATGGGGTCGGCGTAGATGGGGCCGGAGGATCTCGCCGCATCGCCGACGCATCGCCGATGCGGCTCGATGTGGAACACGATCTTCGTCGCGTCGACGTCGCCGATGCATCGCCGACGTCGGCGATGCATCGCTGGTGCATCGGCAATGCATCGCCGATACATCGCCGATGCACTGGCGATGTGGCGCGATCCTCCGACCCCATGTTCTCGGCGGCAGTGTAGGAGGTCCCTAGAGGTGCGACGGAGTGGTCTCCGCGGCTCCCTGGAGCCCGCACCAGACACGGAGCAGCGCGTGGTTCCTGGAGACGACAGGTCGAATCCGTAAAACAAACAATTGTTTTGATGCATTTCCGCTTTCTTCTGCTAAGATCCGCCTGTGGGAGGACATGCCCGACCGAAGCCCAGAGCGAGGAGGACTGCCCGCAGCAGCGGCGCCGCCCCCTCCGCGCCTTCGCCCCCCCCCGCCCCTCCCCCCCCCGGAGGAGCGGGACCGCCTGCAGGAGCAGGCGGAGGCGCGCGACGAGGAGCGAACGGGGCGACCTCCGCCCCCCTGGAGGCTTTCTCCGAAGGGCTTGGGCGACCCGTCCTCCTCCTCGTCCTCCTCGATTCCTCCTCCTCCTCCTCCTCGATCCCTCCTCCTCCTGCTCCTCCTCCTCCTCCTCCTCCTCCCTCCTCGCCCTCCTCGCCCTCCTCGCCCTCCCCTCCTCGGGTCGCCTACGGTCCCCGGGGGGCAAAGCGTCCACCGCCACCCGCCCCTGCCCTCACCTGCCGCCCCTCGCCCTCCCCACGCCCCTGCAGCCCGCTCATTCTCGGCGGCGAGCGAGGGGGGGGGAGGGTGAGAAGGAGAAGGTCCTCTCAGAAGGCGGCGGGGTTTCTCAGAAGCCTTCGGGCCTTCTGAGAGGCTGTCTGTGCCTTGGGGAAGACTCGGGCAACTTCGCAGAAGACCATGCAGGGGATATCCGAGCCTTCTGAGAAGGACCGCCCCTTCTCACGTCCCCCCCTCACTCGCCGTCGACTCACGCACCTGCACCCCGCTCATTCGGGGAACGAGCAATGATGACATGAACATTAACTTTTGGAGCTCCGCGCGGACGTCTTGGATCGGTGTTGGATCCGAATCGCAACCGGGAGCTGACACCGCCCAGCCAATGTGCTAGGCAGGCTTATGACCGGAGGAGGGCCAGTCGAGACAGCGGCCGTCCTTCCTTCATTGGTCATTGTATCTCCAGCCTCTTCGGGGCTCGCCGAAGTTATCATTCGAGTGACCATCATATACAAGATAAAGCACGGCACGGGCTGCATGGACAGCTGCCGCTCTCTTTGCCTCACCTCCCTGGCGCATTGCCGCCCCGCGAGCAGGATCGAGCGTTTCTTCCCCGACGCGGGCTTGGACGACCGCCCGTGCCCGACCCCGTCCGGTTGTCCAGCGAGGAGCAGCCGGCAGGGCGCGATTTGCATGGCACGACGGCGCATTGAGCACGCCCGCGCCCAGAAGCACGGGGCGGTCTTGATTCCTGCGCTGGGCTGGAGGGAGGCATTCGTCGGCGTCGGCGTGGGCGGCATGCTCTCGGCTTTGGAGCGCGTCGGCGTTCCTGCGATGCACCGCGAACTGCTGCGACACGTCCAGACAAGGGCGGCACCTGTTCATTGACGACGTGGAGCGCCAGTCCCGCAAAGGCCACCAGAATTCGAGAGTCTCGCAGGGATGTTCGCTGAGCCCACTATTATTCTTTGTCGCCATGAGTGCGCTGATGGAGGATACAGTGGCGCTGTTGGGTCCTGCTGCTTCGGATGCTGACAGCCAGTTCGCGTCGAGTCGACCAGCGGAGACCCCGCCGCCGGCGTTCAACGTTGAACGCCGCCGGCGACCCCGAATCGGTCGATGCGGAGCGATCTGACGTTCCGGAAACGGCCGATCGGTCAGGGTCGAGCGATCCCCGCGGTGTCAGAAACCAACGCCGAAGTCGGCACGACACGAAGCTGCCGTACCAGAAACAAGATCTCGCGAACATAGCTTCAGATACTGACGTCGCGCTGCTCATGGGATCCGGCGCGGCGCGCGCGCGGAGGGATTCGCATCGGCGGTGCCGCGATTTGGGCGGGCCCACGGCCTCGAGCTCCGCTTGGACAAGCGTTCAGTCGGGCCTGTCCCTCTACAGGAGGACTCTTCAAGAGCAGTAAACAGATGGTCTGGGGGCAATGCTTTGTATTCCCTTTGGCTACGTTTCGTGATTTTTCGAGCAATTTCTTGTAATAACCTTCTGTCTTTCAAAATCCGAGTAGGCCATGCCCGATCTAGGACAAGCTGCATCTGCGGCAGAGCCGCGCTTACAGACCTCTTATGCGTTTCTGGCCAAGCCTTGGAGGGGGACGGATCACTCATGCACCTGGGTGCACGTCTGACGCCAGGCGGCATTATGGTTGGCGAACCTAATCGGCGAATCGGACTGGCCAAAGCGGCCTTTCGACCAGTCTGACAAGTCTCGCCGCTGTCGCTGCAGTGGCGACTACACACTTTCCACGTGCTCCTAGTATCCAAGCTGCTCAACTACAGTTTGGCCACACGCTGTTTCACGAAGACCTAGCTTCGAATACTGGACTGCTTTCAGGTGGAAGATCTACGGGTCATTCTGAATATCCGTCCTGCGTTTCTCATTCGCGTGTCGAGCGCCTCGGTGTTGCAGAGGGCCAGCGCGGAAGCTGTCTCTATGCAGCTGAAGCGAAAACAGGCTTGCCTGCTGGGGAAGGTGGGTCGGTAGCCTGCCGGGTCAACTCTTCGAGACATTTGTTGTTGTTGTTGTTGTTGTTGTTGTTGTTGTTGTTGTTGTTGTTGTCTTCGCCCGTCTGGCAACAGGCCGCTACATCCGTGTGCGGGGAAGGCCCTGGACACAGCGGATTTGGGCAGCGTTGCCAGATGGTATCCGAGTCGCAGGCAACTCCCGGCGTCTGGAGGACGCCGCCTCCGACGAGCAGCACTGGCGCAAGAACGTGACGGAATCGGAATTCTGGCCCTCGCCTTTTTCCCTCCGTTCTCCCTCTTCCGGGGACGATCGAAATTGGTACGGAAAGAATCGATACAATGCCCAACAGCAATGCCTGGTCATTTTCAGCAGAAGTCGCTGTTCGCGCCGCCGCAAGCGCTGCCCTTTGAAGGCAAGAAGCCGCCTGCCCAACGGCGGCCGCTGTTGGTTTGTCCAACCTTTGTTTTTTGGGCATTGTGCCTATTTGTTCTACCAATTTTTTCGGATACAACTCCTGTGAGGTCGCCGAAATGCGGCTATATCCCGCTTAATTCCGTGCAATCCAGCTTAATCCGGCTTAGTCCCGCTGAATCCGCGGCCTTATCTGGCGTAGTAGCCCAGGATGTCGTTGGCGCTTCGCGCGGATTTCTTGGATCCGCGCTGGGCCCACCTGGCGGCGCCTCCAGCTCCGCCCTTGGCGCGCTCCGCGTGCCAGGGAGGGGGGTCCAGCGCGGATCCAAGAAATCCGCGCGGAGCGCCAACAGTTTATGTTTTTGCCGTTGCTTCTTTCTCTCTCATGGGCAGCTGAGTCCAGGCTGTCGTATGCCGCGGGGGAGTCTGTAGGAGCAGCTGTTTGGATCTTCTCGCCCGCGTTTCCTGTTTCTCCCTTAGTCGTCCGTCCCTCTTGTCCTCGCCTCCCGTCCCCCCTCGTCGCGCGTCTCTCCTTCTTTCACTTCGTGCGGCGTGCGCCCCCTCTTCCACCTTGCGCACCCACAGTGATATGCTATAGGTTGCAGGGCGGATGCCGTCACATACGGTATCGTTACCCGCGTAGTATGAAGTGCCGCAGCCTGCGGCTTGACCTGGGAGTTATCTTCCAAGTTTGAACGATCCACGCGGCTTCAGAAACCAATGCCAGGGTCGTCGCGACGCGGATATTTCCGTATGCAAAGGGCGTAATCCGCACGGCCGTGTCCTCGAACAGCGCCACAATCGTTGCGACCGTTGCGGTGCCGGATGGGCCGGATGCCGGGTCTGGGGGCGCTCGCTTGATTTGCTCGTGGCACCGCAGACAATGTCGGGATTGAGGGGGTGCTTATTCTAGGTGTGAAGAAACCGAACTATGTCGAAACTCGCCTGCTTCAGCATGTGTTTCGGCCCACACCAGCGGCTTCTTTCATGGCGCAAGCCTGAAGCCAGGCGTGTCAGCCGTCTCCAGTTTCTCCTCAGCCTCTCCTCCTCTTCTGTCTTCACTGTCTCCTCCTCCTTTTCCTCCTCCTCCTTTTCCTCGTCGTCGTCGTCGTCGTCCTCCTCCTTTTTCTCCTTATGGCGGGCTTCGCGCCCTTGCTGCCTTCTCCGTCGCGCCGCCGCCCTCGTCTCCACGACCCTGCCGGGCTCCGCGGGCCAGGGCCGCGGCCGCCGCGAGGAACATGGACCGCGCGGGAAACAATGCCTAACGAGACGTGGCGCTACACGTTCGGGTCGGATGGGCGCCTCCAGCACGGGCACATCGTAGGATTACGGTCAGGCCGAGGCGTCAGATCGAGGGCGGTTCGGGGAGGGTGCCCTGATGTTTTTCGTGCCTGTTGGATGCTCTCTTGCGCATCCTGGGGGAGGGCAGCCTCGAGTGTTCCTGGGCTGGCGCAGGGTCTACTCCGGGTTTCTTGGTAAGCGTGGGGGGTACCCTCCGACATGTGGGTCAACCTCGCCTTGTCGTCGCGCCGCGCGGTGGCTGCCCGCGGCGGGGGTCGATGTGGGGCTGTCGGCGGGGGTGACGCCCTCCCGACGCTCATGGATAAATTCGGAGTCATGTTCTTGAGGGGTGTTCTTCTGCCCCTGGTCCGACCGTCGGTCCTCGTGCGTCCCAGCCGGAGCCTTGCCGCGCACGGGGTCCTGGCTGGCGCCCCCCCCCCCCCCCCTGGCGAAGGACGACAACGACGTGGACCACGAGCTGCTGGCGCTGGAGGAGACCTCCCCGGGGCGCCCCCCATCGGCCGGCCCCGAGACGCACGCAGCTCGGGCTGCGCACCCGTGTGCTGGAGGTCCAGGCGTAGGTCGGGCAGGGACGATGCAGCCATCGTCACTGCTCGTCTGGGCCGCCGGCTGCGTCCTGGAGGCCTCCACGGCGACGACGGCGACGAACTGGGAGTCCACTCCCTCCTCCTCCTTCCTAATCCTCCTCTTCCTCCTCCTCCTCCTCCTCCTCCTCCTCCTGCTGTTCCTCCTGCTGTTCCTCCTCCCCCTCGTCCTATTCCTCCCCCTCGTCCTCCTCCTCCTCCTCCTCCTCCTCCTCCTCCTCCTCCTCCTCCTCCTCCTCCTCCTCTCTCCTCCTCCTCCTCCTCCTCCTCCTCCTCCTCCTCCTCCTCTTCCTTCCTCCTCCTCGTCCACTTCCCAGGTGAGCGCTGTGACCTCCCCCAGGCATTTCTGCAACTGCCCGGTCGCAGCAGTTCAAGATAGGGCCTGGCCATGGGCAGACTGGCCCCGGTGCCGGCACGGGCGGGGAGGGCTCTGCCTGCATGGGCGTCGGGGGATCTCTCCCGTGGCTTCTTCCAGCCTTTTGGTCGGCGGCGAGCGAGGGCGGGAAGTGAAAAGGAAACGGCCTTCTCATCGGGCGGCGAGACTTCTCAGGGGCCCTCGTGCCTTCCGAGGGTCTTTTTCTTTGTCTCTGGGGAAGGCTTATAGGAGACTTCTCAGGAGGCTGGAGGGGACTTCCGAGCATTTTAAAAAGGCCCGCCCCTCGTCTCTTTTCCCCCCTGGGCGTGCCGCCTATCCGAGAGTTCGGGGCTCAAGAGCCGGGGGTCAATGCAAACGGGGGTCAGCCAGAGCGCCGGATCTTGCAGGATCCTGCAGAGCCAGGGGTGCATTGACCCGGGCTTGGGCGTAGGATCCTGCAGGATCTTGCAGGATCGTGCAGGATCCTGCAAGGCCTGACTGACCCTGGTCTGGATTGACCCGGGCCAGAAGATCCCCGAAGTCGGCGACTTGGATCCGTCACGTGATGCGAATCGGATGATGATGAGGAGGAGGAGGAGGAGGAGGAGGAGGAGGAGGAGGAGGAGGAGGATATAAAGAGGAGGAAGAGGAGGGGATTCGGTGGGGATGGGGGAACTTCGCATCACGGGACGAGATCCCTCTGCCTACGAAGAGTCCGCTCGCAAGCCGCTGATCGGGACGATCGACATGGGTACGGAAAGAACTGGCACATTGCCCAACAGCAGTTCTGCTGCATTCTGAACAGGACTCGCTGGCCGCGCCGCCGCGGAGGCTGTTCATCAGAAATGCAGGAAGCAGCCTGCCCGACGGCGGCCGCTGCCGGCTTTGGGCCGCACTTGTTGTTGGGGCATTCCACCATCTTTTTTTTTGTTCGTGTCCGTTCCGGGCGTCCGAAAAGCTGAGTGCCCCGGCAGGCCTCGGGAGAGCCCTCCTCCTCCTCCTCCTCCTCCTCCTCCTCCTCCTCCTTCCCCTCCCCCTCCCCCTCCTCCTCCTCCTCCCCCCCCTCCTCCCCCTCCTCCCGTTTTTTTTTGTTGGGGCGGGGGGGGGGCGGGCGGGCGCCGCGCGCACCGCGGGGGGGGGGGGCGCGGGGGGACCGGCGGTCGGTGCGAGGACCCCCCCTCCTCTCCTTGGCCTGAGTCGGGCGTGCCCCTGCAGAGGAGGAGTATTCAACCATAGTAAACAACATCGTTTGGTTTTGAATCTATACATATATGAAAACAAATCAGCACATTGTTTTTTGGCCATCTTCGCGAGTCTGTTTGGACCTTTTGTTAGTTTTCGACCGATATCCGCCTACAGGAGGACATGCCGGACCTGGCCCTCGGCTCTCCCAGAAGGCCTGGGGCGCGTGGGCCTCGCTCGGCGAAGGGAGAGGCTCAGCCGGGCCGAGGTACAAGGTCGAGGCCGAGTCGGGGAGGGTGCCGTGCTAATGTTCTGCGTGCTTGTCGGGTGTTCTCGCGCATCCCTGGGGGAGGGCACCCTCGAAGCTTCTTCCGTCTGGCTGGCGCAGGGTCTCATGCTCCTCTTGCAGGAGGGTTCTTCCGGCCCAGGTCCGACTGTGCCCATACCGCTTACCCTTCCTTTGTTTTTCCTTTTATGGCCTCCTGGGATGCCCTCGTCGCCACTGCTGGTTTTTCTCCTCGATATCCTGGTCAGAGCACGCTCCTGGGGAGGTGCGGGGTGTAGCGGTATCGGTACCTTTGGGTTTCCCCGTTTACGTAGGCCACCCCTTCTGCAGGGGGCCGCGATCATGTCTTGGAAGGCAGGCCCCATCGCCCTAACTCTTGCGCGCCGGCAGTGGGGGCTCGTAGACTGAGGGCCCAGAGGTAGCTGGAGGAGGGTTGGGCCAGGGTAGTTGCGTCATGCTGTCCCTGGCGTGCCATTATCGTCAATCCCCTCGGCTGGCTTCCCAGGGGCACAACCTCGAGGCTGTAGGTTCACAAAGTATGGTGTGGCCGTTGGGGTTGAGGAATGTCAGCTTTGTTTATCCCATTTCCATCCCCACCAGACCATGGTATCTCAGCCCCACCACCCGCCACCCCATTTTAGAATAGGCCCCTCGAGACCCGAAGGGAACAGCCCACATGCCCACCCGGGGAGGCAACTTGGCCCGTGGGGCCCAGGCCACGCCGGTGGGGATGGGGATCGGTCAAGCGACGCTCGGAACGCTTTTGGAGACGGGCCCAAGACATGCGACGTCCTGACGTTTTGAAGGACGGCGTCCCTGGAAGTCCCGACCCTTTCCCCGGGACCCGTTTTTCGTCCCGAGTCGTTGTTCTTACGGTCCCGAGGCCCGGCGAGGGCCGCCCGAGGCCGAAAATAGCCAACAAAAATCCTGTCCTCATTTTTTTTTTTTTTTTTTCACGGCGCGGTTATGCCTGGGGGCTGGGCCGTGGCGAGCCCCTGCTCTCGGAGGACGGCGGCGATGCCATGGCCCCGCGGCGGCTGCCCCTGCACGAGAGCCTGCCGTCGACCGCGAGGGCCCCTTCTCCCCCCCCTCCTCCCCCCCCTCCTCCTCCTCCTCCTCCTCCTCCTCCTCCTCCTCCTCCTCCTCCTCCTCCTCCTCCTCCCCCCTCCTCCTCCTCCTCCTCCTACCTCCTCCTCCTCCTCCTCCTCCTCCTCCTCCTCCTCCTCCTCCTCCTCCTCCTCCTCCTCCTCCTCCCTCCTCCTCCTCCTCCTCCTCCTCCTCCTCCTCCTCCTCTCTCCTCCTCCTCCTCCTCCTTTCCTCCTCCTCCTCCTCCTCCTCCTCCTCCTCCCGGCCCCTTCGGCGCGCCCTGGCAGCTGCCCTCTGCGCTGCCGCGCTCGCGCCCACCGCCGGGGGGCTGCCCCCCGGCGCGCGGTGCTGCGGGCCGCTGGCGTCCGCGTGCCGAGGCGGGCTGTTTCGGAAGCAGATCGTAAGTCGGGCCTGTCCCTCCACAGTGGGGGCGCGCATCAAGAAACCGTGTGCTTTTCGCCAGGGTATCCTGGGTTTCTTCGCTCCTCGCGCTGCGCGGTGGCTTCCCGCAGCCGTTGAAGGAGCTGCTGCGTTTAGGGTGCTCCGGGTTTCCCCTCAGGTGCACCTCGCGCACGGGTTCTCAGGGTTGGGTTTCTTGTGAGGGTTTCTTGCGGCCGCGCCCGCACTGTAGCCTCCCAAAAGAGTCGGCGGACGATTTTTAGACGATGCTTGGCTATTTTTGAATGTGTGTGTGGACCATTCTGTAGTCTTCGTTCAGAATCCGCCTGTGGGGAGAGACGCCCGACCTAAAGCAAATCATGGGAGCCTGGTGTAACCCCGTAAATCTATCTGTGGCGTCGACGAGCGTCGATTTGGTGTCTGGGAGTCGAGGATCTATATATATATATATATATATGTATCGATCCTCTCGACGTGGCACGGGCTTGCGTCGATTATAGCGTCGACTTAGCGTTGATCAGCGTCGATCTGGCGTCGACTTCGCGTCGAGTCGCAAGAACCGGCAAGACGCTACGTGAGGCTCCCATGAGTTGCTCCCGGAGGCTATCTTAGCGTTTACTCGGGCATGCCCCTTTTACAGGATGAGTATTCGAAACTTGCAGAAAAATAGTATGGGGACGATTATTCTAGCATTTTTATATGTGTGTGTTTTTGATTGTTCTGTTTTCTTTTTAAGCAAGCGTCCGCCAAACATCCGCCTGTATGTGGTACATGCCCGACCGAAGGCTATCTTAGCGGCGGCCCATCCTCACGGGGGGCGCAGGCGAGGGACCCTTCGCCCCCCCCGCAAAAAGCGCCCCGTGCCTCTCGTGCCCCGTCGCCTCTCGGCGCCAAGGGGCGGGGGGACTTCAGTGCAGGGGCTCCAGGGAGTTCTCCCGCCCTTTCACCAGGATGGGTCTTGCACCTCGAGCCTTGAGTTGGGCATGTCCCTCTACAGGAGGAATCTTCAAAAATAGTAAAACAATAATATGGGGACGATGTTTCAATGTTTTTGTTGGGCTATCGTTTTTTCCTCCGTTTTTTCGCCTAAACTCAGCCTGTAGTGGGACATGCCCGTCCTAACCCCAGGGTGTTCTCCCGCCCTTTCACCAGGATGGGTCTTTCATGTCGAGCCGTTATACGGCTGGTGTAATTCCAGGATGGGCTGTTCCAGGATGGTCTGTTCATCTCGAGCCGTTGTTCGTCATGGGTCTTACCAGGATGGGCTGTTCATCTCGAGCTGCTCCCCAGGGTAACGACGAGCGCTCTCGGAGACCGGACACGGCCAAGCATGTCTGGTCTTTAGTGTCTTACGACGCGAGCATGTCGAGGTCTGTCTGTCTGTCTCTCTCTCTCTCTGGCGAACAGGTTTCATTCCCCCTCTGAGGGACAGAAGACACAGGGGTTGTATGCACGTGTATTTGGCGCGTGAGCTGCCCGCGCAAGATCGCACGCTGGCGCCGTCGCTCCCAGTGTGGCCGGCGTGCCGCGCTGGCGGCCCGCGTGAGCCACCGCGTCGGGTCGCTATGCTCTTGGTCTCCCAAATGAGGTCCGAGCGGAGGAGGAGGAGGAGGAGGAGGAGGAGGAGGAGGAGGAGGAGGAGGAGATGGGGTCGAAGGATCGCTCCGCACCGGCGATGCCCCCGCGGTGCGGCTCGATGCGGACCCCGGCTTGCTCCACGCCGGCGTTCGGCATGCGGCATCGCCGAGGCGTCGCCCATGGGCGCCGTCGACGTGTGTTGTCGATGCGGTGCAGTCCTCCGGACCCCATCTTCTCGGACCCCATTTTGGGAGTCCTCTGCATCTTATGTTCAGAGAAATGAGAAAAGAGTCAGGAGGAAAAGGAAAGGAAAGGAAAAGGAGGAAAAGAAAGGAAAGGAAAAGAAAGGAAAGGAAAAGGAGGGAAAGGAAAAGAAAGGAGGAAGGAATGAGAAAAAGGAAAGGACAGGAAAAGAGAAAGGAATCAGGAGGAAAAGTAGAGTTCAGGAGAGAAGAGAGAAAAGAGTCGGCTGCCGCCCCCTTCCTCTTAGAGAAAAGAGTCAGGAGGGAGAGAAACGCACATACACAGTGAATCGTCGACTCCCAGGAACCTGCGGGAAAATATGGGAAGTGGCGGGCAAACGAAAACCCAGCAAAGATGGGAACTTATGGCGGATCCTTGGATTTGTGTCTTGTTAATCGTGTGTGTGTGTGTGTGTGTGTCCCTGGGTCTTCTCACATATATATATATATATACATATATATATATATATATATACAAAAATATCGAAACCAATTGCCCTAGCCAGCCCAACCAGCCAACCCAACCAACCAGCCATCCAAACAACTCAACCGGCTCAACCAGCCCAACCAGCCACCCCGCAACCCCAGCCAGCCCGCCACCCCGCCAACCCGCCCACCCGCCCACCCCCGCCGCCTGCCCTCCGTCACCGTCGAGAGGGGGGGGGAAGTGTTTCTTACAAGCGAAAACCGCAAAAATCACCCTCCCGGGGTCCGGCGGGACAGCGGGGGGAGGGGAAATCGCGCCGTACTATGCGGGAGCGGGATTCGCGCCCGAGGTGCCCAAGGACGATTCGGGGCCTCAAATGCGACACTGTCGTCACTTTATTACCTTTCACCGCGCTCCCCTTCTCATCGGAAAGGCTCCCATTCGTGAAACTGTCGTCATTTTTCAGCCCCCGCGAGAGGCTTCTTAGAGGCCCCCAGAGGCTCCAGGAGGGCCCGTGGCGGTCTCGGGAGTGCCTAGGAGACCTCCGGAGGGCCCCAGGAGGACCCATTCTGCACCGCGCCCCCCTTCTCAACGGAAAGGCCCCCATGCGTGAAAGTGTTTTCAGCATTTCGCCCCCGCGAGAGAGTTCTGAGAGGGCCCACGGAGGCTCCAGGAGGGCCCGTGGCGGCCCTGGGAGAGCCCACGAGATCTCAAGAGCCCCCCCGAGGACCCATTTTGAATTACACTCAGGGAGCTCCAGAGGGCCCAGGAGGCTCCAAGAGGCCCCAAGAGGCCCCGAAGAACCCAAGCAGGCCACAGGACCCCCAGCACGCTCGAGGAGAGCCATGGCGACACCAAGAGGCTCCAGAACGGGGTCATTCCCTCTCCTCCTCCTGCTCGTCGTCGTCATCCTTCTCCTCATTCCTCATCCGTCCTGCTTCAAATCCTTCCTCCCCCTCCTCCTCCTTCTCCTCCTCTTTCTCCTCCTCCTCCTCCGCCTCCTCCTCTTCCTCCTCCTACCTCATCCGTAGCCTCGATGGTTCCGATAGCGCCGTGCGCGAGATCCGCCTCCTCCCCATCCGTCCTCCTCCCTCCTCCCTCCTCCTTCCCTCCTCCCTCCTCCCCTCTCTCGGGAGCGTCACAAAGAGGCCCTCCGAGGATAATTTCACGACAACAAGGGCGCCGACCCGATGAACAGACACCACGTCGGGGCTCTGGGAACGGAGTCGAAGACGAAACATCGAATAACTGAGTCTTCGATGTTCGGGGCATTTTTCTGACCACGTGCGAGCCTTGTGGAAGTTTCCGAGAGCCTGAGGGGTGGACGTCTGGCGCAAGAACACGAGTGGAGGAGGAGACAACACGACGCTTGGCTTCTACCCCCGTGAGGGGCGTTACAGGGTATACATATATGTATGTATGTATGTATGTATGTATGTATGTATGTATGTATGTATGGATGTATGTATGTATGTATGTATGTATGTATGTATGTATGTATGCATGCATGCATGCATGCATGTATGTATGTATGTATGTATGTATGTATGCATGCATGTATGTATATATGTATGTATGTATGTTTGTATGTATGTATGCATATATATATATGTAGTCTCGCGTGAGGCCCGCTTCTTCTCGTCGATCCCCTGGCGGCCGCGCCGCCCGCCCCCCGCGGGAGCAACGCGGGCGGCACCGGGGATTCGCCGCCAGGAGGACATGACACGGTCGATGCGTCGCCCATGCGTCGATGCGCCGCCCATGCATCTTCGACGTGTCGTCGATGCGGCGCAGTCCTCCGACCCGATCCACTCTGACCCCATTTCGGGAACCTTCCGCATTTTATCAGTGTCGTCTCGCGTGAGGCCCGTCTCTGTTCTAGGGGGCCACATGCGGTCCCTACCCCTACCCCCCACGATTTCTGAGGGGGAGGGTGGGGTTCACTCCGTGCGGGAGCTCCCGAGCGGAGCGAACCCCCCCTCCCCCTCAGAACTCGTGGGGGCTAGGGGTCGGGTTCGCATGTGGCCCCGTCTGTTCGTCGCTCGTCTGGCGGCCGCGTCTCCCGCCCACGGGGGGAGACAACGGGCGGAGCCTGGGATGCGCCGCCAGGAGGACATGGACGCGCAGACGTCGGGCAGGTCGGGGAAGGACCCCCCCCCGCGCTGCCTCGGCTGCCTCCGCTGCCCTCCCCTCCTTTTGTGCGAAGAAAAACATGCGCCATGAACCTACATTTTTAGCGTTCCGCGCGGATTTCTTGGATCTGCGCCTGGCAACTGAGTGTCGGCGCGTGTGTACATATATATACATAGATGTGTATATACATTTGTATATATATATATATATATGCATGTGTATGTATGTATGTATGTATGTATGCATGCATGCATGTATGTATGTATGTATGTATGTATGTATGTGTGTTTGTACGTATGTACGTACGTATGTATGTACGTGGGCACGTACGTATGTATGTATGCATGCATGCATGCACGTATGTTTGTTTGATGTGGTTTGTTATTATGTTTGTTGTTGTTTAAACAAGTGTTCGTAGTTGTGGTTGTATTTTGTTTTGTATATTTGTTGTATGTGTACACGTTTTTGTTGTTGTGTTCGTCCCTTCGTATTTGTCCCTCTCTCTCTTTTTCTTAGGTGCACATATATATACATGTGTATGTGTGTTTACGTATGTACGTACGTACGTACGTAGGTATGTTTGTATGTATGAACGCATATAATGTATGTAATGTTTGTAATGTATGTATGTATATATGCATGTATGTATGTATGTGTGTGTATGTATGTATGTATGTATATATGTATGTACGTACGTACGTATGTATGTAAGTATGTATGTATGTATATATGTGTATGTAGGTAGGTAGGTCGGCAGGTAGGTCGGTAGGTAGGTCGGTAGGTCGGTAGGTAGGTATGAATGTGTGCATGCAGGTATGTATGTTTGTATATATATACACGTTTATATATACATATATATATATATATGTATATGTGTATATATAGAAGATACGTAGCTCCCCCTCCTCCCCCCGCGACCTCGGATAAGAGCGGGGGTGCTCCCAGTCCATTCGCGCCCGATTGGCGCGCCTGATCCGCGTGCCGCGCCCGATTGGCGCGCCGAGTTTTCTCGCCTGATTGGCGTGCCCGATTAGCGCGCCTGCCTGGCGCCCCCGCCCTGAGGTCGAGGTTTCGTTGCAGCCGGATGCGCAGGGATATATCAAGAGCTCTTAGACACCCCTCACACTGACATGCATCTGTATATGTGTATCTACATATGCGTATGCGTGCAGGCATTCATATTTGTATGTTATCTGGACGTGAGAATATTGGGGCAAGTATTAGCCACTGTGGTCCCTGAGCAATCGGTCGCGCTCTTGATGTGTACTGTTCATGCTGCGAGCGAATTCTGCGCTGCGTTCTGCGGGTGTGGTACCATGTGTGTCTGGTGCACCTTGCGCGGTTTGAGTTCTGTGCTGCAAGCTGCGTGCTGTAGCCTATGCGCGCGAGCACTGGCGCGAGTTCCGGCGCGCCCGCGTTCAGCGCAGCGGGCGCCCGCGAGGCGCCCCCCGCCGCCGGCGGAGGGGGACGGAAGAGTCTTGACTTGATCCCGAGGCAGAGATTTATCCATGAACCACCGCCTGGGGGTTCGGTCGTCGCGGACCTCCGCAGGCGGTGGAGATGGATAGATTCGGGCCCCCGGGGGCCAACACATTATCCATGTCCACCGCCCGCCGAGTCCTCAGGACGTCGGTTCCCAGGCGGTGGATATGGATAAAGCCCCGCTTCGCATCAACTGCGACGTTCTTTTTTCTCGTTTCTCAATCTCATCAGAAGTGGCGACGCCGCCGACGACGACGACGACGACTCAAACGGCACAGCTTCTCACGCGCGCCGAGGGGTCGGCGGGTTTCCGCTCGCTTCGCGTTGCGTTTGGGGGGCCGCGAGGAAGGGCGGCAGTCATTGCAGCGGCGCCGCCAGGGACAGTGTGAAACGTAGTGCCTTCAAGAAGGACTTCGTTGCGGCTCGTAGGGCAGGGCGAGCTGCTGGCGATGACGCCGTGTCACATGTTCGCCAAATCTGTGAGCGTTTTGTTTCACCCTCGCCAGCGTGACGCTCGTTCCCCAGCCCCCCCCCCCCCCCAGTAACGCCAACGATCGTAGTGGGCGGGGTGGCCTGTACCCGCCATACATGCTTGGGGGCGGACCCCTCGCAGCTATGGTGCTGTGCTCACAGGCGTGGCGAGGTGCTGCTGAAAGCGTGCTTTGGTGCCCACAAGCGCACTGTGGCGCTGGCAGGCTCCCCACCTGTTGCGGCGCCGAGTTCGCAGTCATGGCGTGGTGCTGAAAGGCATGTTTCGGTGGTCGCATGCGTGTTGTGGCGCTTGCAGGGTATTGCGGTGCGCGTCGGTCAGGCGGGCTCATTGCCAAGGTGCCCTACTCGGAGGGCGGCGGGTCGGGGGGCCGATGTCAAGCGGTTTTCGGCTGAGCGGGCGTTCGAGGTTGAGCGCGACGCAGGGGCTGGGGCCCGCAGAAACGAGCCCTCGGCGCGAAATCGATATCAAAGATGGGGTCGAGGGCCTGCAGGGTCTTCCGGGATCACTTCAAGCATTTAGTTTTTAACTCTCGCTGTGGGTATGCCGCCGCTGTGTGTGCTGTTTTGTCCATCGCGCATCTAGAAAAGAAAGCCTTAATCTGAAGAAGAACGAACACCTGCACAAAGCACGTTCGGACTTCCGCGCGAACCCCCGACAGTTTATGTTCATGTGGTTGAATTTTCTTTTCGTCCGTGTCCATGCCAACCCTTTCGCCGGAGGCCCAGATGTTCTCTGGCCGCTCGACCTCCATGGAGAGCATGGGCTCCACGTCGGCGACCTCTCGCTCTACGGGACGCGCCCGCGACCCCTGCCACCGTTCGCTCTCCCCTTCCTCCGGCGACTGACGCTCGACTCAGGTCGGGCATGTCCCTCTACAGGGGGATTTTCGACGAACAATGAAAACTAGTCAAACAATACGTACTCAAAGATGCGCCAAAGATAATAGGAAAGTCGTCCCCAGACTATTTTTTGACTATTCTTGACTACTCCTTCCTGTTGTAGAGGGACATGCCCGACTTGACGCTCGACCCGGACCCCCAGCCGCTGCCCTGGCCCCCAGGGGGGGGGGGGGGGGGGGCGGGGCCACGGAGGCAGGACGGGTGGCCCCCCGAGAGAGTTCTGGGCTTCTGCCCAGTGCATCCATCCCCCGCCCCCCTCTTTCCGCAGAGGTCTGGCGTGGGCAGGCGCACGGGTTCCACCAGACGTCGATATCGCCCACTCCTCCTCTCAAGCAGTGGCGAGGCGTCATGGCTCGCCTAAAGGCCCACCAACTAATGTGTTTCAGAAGCCTTTTGTGGTCTGCACGAAATGTTATTCTAATACTTCTGGCTGGGGCATTGTTTGTTTTGACACATCGGGTTTCTGTTCCAAGAAAACTGTTTTTGTGATTAGAGCACTTGTGGGTTCTAAGAATATTTCGTGGTAGGCCTACAGGAATGCCAGGACGGTCGGTCCATGCTCAGACCTCCCCCCCCGTTATCGTCACACCAGTTTGAAGCATATCCCCATCCCTGAGTTTGGCATCACCTCCCCTCGATGCCAATCTGCAGGACACCCTCAGCTCCTGAGGGCACATCCTTCAGATCGCCATCGCTTTGGGCTCGCCCATCTTAGGGAGAGGGACAAGTTCGAATCTGGTTGCAGTCAACCCGCATAGTAAGGATGGGCACCCTTCCCAAGGGTACCCTTGCATCCTTGCCTCCTCGGCCCATCCTTCGCCACTTTCGTTGGCCGCGCCCCGCTCGAAAAGCTTCGAGATGGGCGTTCAAGGCTCTTGCATCCTTGTCGTGCATCCCCACTATACTGGCCTGGGCATGCCATCCGGACGTGAGGACGCATCCAGGACTTTTCCTCCTCCCGCTTTTCCTCTTTTCGTCCTCTTTCTTCTCCGTTCCAGCCTGTACGTGCATGGTGGAGTCCCCTTCCCATCAGTTGCGAAGCCGGCAACTTTCATCATCGCGGGTATTCCCCGAGGGGAAAATACGGGTTGACTGTACCATCGTCGCCGCCCTCCACACTCGAAGGGGACACATCGGCACAGCGCCAAGCGCTCGGAGGGTCGCGCGGTCTTCCCCCCCCCCCCCCCCGCGGGCGCTGCCTCTTCGGCGCTGCCCCGTGGCCCCGCCGCGCTGCCCCGGGGCCCCGCGCGCGCGCTCGTCGCCGACCCGGGGCTTCCAGCGCTGGCCTTCGCTTCGAGCACTGCGCGATCGTTCTCTCACTCGTTGCTCTGCCGATCGGCGCGGGCTCGCGTACCCCCCCTCCTCCTCCTCCTCCTCCTCCTCCTCCTCCTCCTCCTCCTCCTCCTCCTCCTCCTCCTCCTCCTCCTCCTCCTCCTCCCTCTCCTCCTCCTCCTCCCCCTCCCCCCCCATGGATCGGAGGTGGATCGACCTCCTACCCTGACACGTCTATCAAGGAATCGGCCGTCTTCGGTTCGCGAGAGGGCTGCGCGGCCGTCATTCTTGCGGGTCCAGGGGATTGGGTTTCGGTCCTGGGCCGTTTTCATTCAGGGGAGGTTTACTAAAGGGAGGTCTGTCCACCGCCAAATGCAGTAGATCTTGGCTGTTTTGGGCGCCTATTCCGAACAGGAGGGGTCCCTCCCCCGTAGGACGCACTGCTGCAGACCGTGGCCTTGAGCAGAGGTCCCGAGCCAGACCACCCCCCTCCGCCCACCCCTGCCCCCTTTCAGCCCGATGTCGGAGCGCCGAAGTAAGAGACAACGCTTCCTTAGGAGGAGTTCTTGCCCGGCTCTGTCAAGTTTGCAATCGGTCGGGAGCCTCGAGACGGGGGTCAATGCAAACGGGGGTCAGCCAGAGCGCCCGATCTTGCAGGATCCTGCGGGGCTGGGGTCGCACTGACACGGGTTTGGGTGCAGGATCCTGCAGGATCTTGCAGGATCCTTCGCGCTGACCCGGGCCTGGGTGCAGGACCTTGCAGGAGCTTGCAAGATCCTGCGAGGCGTGACTGACCCGGGTCTGGCTTTCGCCCCGCGGCCGCTCCGCGGGCGCTTTTTTTCTTGCGCTTGGGGGGGGGGGTCTCCGCCGAGGCCGCGCCCGCGGGCGCCCCGCTTCACTCGTGGGCGCTCTGCGCGGGCGCCCCAGGGGGTGCCCCAACGGGCCCCCCTCCGTGCCTGCGAGCCTGCAGGGCGGGAAGGTGTTTCGCCGCGTGGCCTACGCCGCGTGGCCTGCACCACGCAGCTCGCACCGCACAGCGTACACGTCGTCGTCCAGCCTGCAACGCAGCCTGCCTCGCACAGCCTATCTAATTCCGTGCCTTTCGGCTCCGCTGCGCACACCGCACAGCTCTTATACGACACCGCTCGCACCGCAGAGTCTTTTTTGCCGCCGCACAGTTCTCTCCTCCATAGCTGACATCACGTGTCTTGTACGATGTAGTCTTTTCACTGGCCAGCGAGGGTAAACATCGTGAAACGGTCCTTTAAGCTGCCTCATAAAATATAGTTTCCACCACACAGCCTGCATCGCATGGTTTTGATCTCCACGGTGCAGCCACGTACTTCTCGGGGTCCACGCCGACCAACACGTGTATGTCTGTCTTCTGGTTCGTTCCTCCACGTCCCTCTCAATTCTAGACGCTTCGCGTATCCCCACCAGCCCGTCCAGAAACGACGCCCAGGCGAGTAGAGGGTCGTCCTGAGGGGCTTTTCGGCGTCTTGGGTGCCTCGGGGGGGCCTCTGTGGGCCGTTCGGGATCCTCTTTGGGGCCTCCTGGGGGCCTCTTGGGGCCTCTTGGGGCCATCTTGGGGCCTTTGGGGGCCTCCTGGGCGCTTCTTGGGGCCATCTTTGCCCCCTCAGGAGGCCAAAATGGGGCCAACATTTAGTAAAATCAATGATTTTGGCTTCCTCGCCGAGGCCGTTTTGGACGCTCTGACCGCTCGCGGCCCCCCCCGTCCAGGTCCACGGGGAGGGGGTAGGGGGAGGGGTAAACCCCTCCCCGAAGGGAAAGAGGGAGGGGTGGAAGAGGAAACGCCTTAAACCACCGACGCCCAGAGGGCTGGTGGGATTGCCTCGATCAGGGAAGTGGACAGCACACAGAGGAAGCCAGTATGAGACATCTTGGGATTTCTTGAGCCATCTTGGAGGTCATTTTGGGCTCTCCGAGGCGCTCCTGGAGTCATCTTAATCAGTCCCCCCCCCCAAGAGGCCAACATGTGGCTAAAACCTTAGTGCAAACAATGGTTTGACATTATCGCCGAGGCCTCTGGGAGCACCTTGGGTGCCTCTGGGGGGTCTCTTGGGGCCTCTTGGGGGTCTCTTGGGGGCCTCCTGGGGGCCTCTTGGGGGGCCTCGTGGGGCCATCTTGAGGCCATCCTGCGGCCTCTTGGGGCATCGTCAGCCATCTTGGAAGGTGTCCTGGGCTTCCCGAGGCTCTCAGGGAGCCGTCTTGGCCCATCTTTGACGACCTTGTGAGCCTCTTGGAGGCCTCTTGGGCGTCGTTTGGGGCGCTCTTGAAGCGCTCTTGGAGGCCTCAGAGGCGCTGGTAGAGCCATGTTGGAGGGGATCTGGCAAAGAAAGCGGACGCATTTTTTAGCGTCGCCCTTGTAGAGCCTTTGAAATTGCCTCCTGAACCCCTCTTGGGGTGCTCTTGGAGCGTTCGTTGCCGCTCTTGGCGCCGTCTTGCGGCTTTCTTGGGCCCCTTTTGGAGCTATCTTGAGCCACCTTAGAGCCATCTTGACGCCTCGGATGCGCATCGCAAGCGAAAAAGTGAGAACACCAAAAACATTGATGTTCCCTAGGGTTGTGAAGCATGTTGGCCTCTTGGAGGCATCCTAGTGATGCTCTTGTGAGCACTTGGAACCGTTTTGGGAAGCTCTTGGAGCGTCTTGGAACATCATGGGGACCATATTGAGGCATCTTGCGCTATCTGGAGCCATCTTGGAGGTCATTTTGAGCTCCCTGAGGCTCTCTTGGCGTGTTGGGCCATCTTGGACGCTCTAACTACCCGCGCCCCCCCCCTGTCCAGGTCAGTGGGGAGGGGGTAGGGGGAGGGGTAAACCCCTCCCCGAAGGGGAAGAAGGAGGGTTGGAAGAGGAAACGCTCTAAACCACCGACGCCCAGAGGGCTGGTGAGATTTCTCCGCCCCATCCGCTCCTTGTCTCATGGGCTTCGGCGTGGCGATGGAGATGGCGATGGTGATGGTGATGCTGATGACGGTGGCCCGCAAGGCTTCTCCATCATGCGGGTGGTGAATGATGACTACCATGGTGATGGTAATGACGCTGGCGACAACGACGAGGATGATGGTAATACGTAGTATATGCGTGCACCAAGGTAGTTGCCCTTCGCCATCTGTGTTGGAGGGGCTTTCCGTCCCACGCCTCCATGGTGACCGCATCACAACGATGCTTGCTTTTCGGGAATCGCGAAGCGCGAACACAGGTCAAGTGAAACATACCCAGATCATGAGGACGAAGAGTAGTTTCAGTCGTGGGAGACTGCGGATGAGTAATGGGAATGAGTGGTGAGGAGGAGCATGAACAGAGCGGAGTTAGAGGAGGGACGATGAAGAGAGGAAGGGATGAGGAGGGATGATGAGGATGCGAAGGAGAAGGAGAAGGATACTGAGAAGGAGAAGAAGGAGAAGGAGGAAAGGAGGAGGAGGAGGTGGAGGAGAGGACGGGAGGAGGTTATGAAGTGGAAGGAGGAGGGAGAGGGACGAGGAAGGAGGAGCAGGATGGAGGTAGGAGGCGCGAAGATGGCTGGGGGACGCCCATCGCCAGCACTTCACCGACGCCATCGCGGCCACCACGGCCATGGCTTCCTTGCGAGCTTTGCCCCCCAGAGCTAACCGACCCTCTCCTGGCCTTCAGCAGCCAGCCCCTGCGTCACAGACGGGAGCCCTGGAGTTGAGCGGCGACCTTGGTTGGGGGTAGGGCGCAGTCAGTTCACGAGTTTGTTTCCTCGTGAACCGCTTCCCCCTCCTGCCCCTCTTTCCCCTCCTCCCCCGCCTCGTCCTCAGGTCCCCCCCCCTTCCCCTCTTCTCTCCTTCATGACGCTTCTCCCTCCTCCCTCCTCCCTCCACCTTCACAATTATGACGTTCTCGCGCCAGGTTTCACTTGCGTCTCCTCCCGTCGTTCCCCTCCTCCGCCCTCTCCTGGTCCTCCTGCCCCTTCCGCTCCTTCCCCTCCAGCTCCTGCTGCCGCTGTTCGTCCTCGCCCCCCTCCCTCCTCCGCCTCCTCCTCCTCCTCCTCCTTTTCCTCCTGATCACCCTCATCCTCCTTCTCCGCCTCCTCCTCCTCCTCCTTTTCCTCCCGATCACCCTCCTGCGCATCCGCCACCTCCCCCCCCACCGTGCGCAGCTCCCCTCTCTGGATTGCACGGCGCACGGTGTGTGTTTTGTCGGAAGCTTGCGAGAGGTGCCCGTGCACAGAGAGCAGGTCGGCGCAATGGGCTAGGTGGCGGGGCCGCGATAGGCTGGCAGGGTGGGCGGGTTCTTTTTCTGTCGCTGCCGCCCCGTCACTGTACACTGCATCGCTCCGCTCCGCCTCAGGTCTCTTCGTCGACCATGTTCGTTCCACGCCGCACCGTAACTAGCAGTTTGACCCGGCGAGTCCCTAGGGGGCGAACAGCGTAGACTCCTTTTTTTCCCCCGCTTGAGACTCCATCCGACCCAAGTGGGTGGGATGGGCAGGAAGTCAGATACAGTCGGGGCCCTGAAGAAGGAACCCATTTGGTTGGGGAGGGGCTCCGCGTTCCTTAAGTGTTTCACAGCTTGCCTCAGGGTTTCCCTTATGTTTTCGATAGGAAGTCGAAGTTTAACTTATGGACAAAAAGGGGCCTCGTTCCTTATTTAGGGTGCCTTAGGTCAAAGCCCCGACTGTATGGCGCGAGCGCACCTGTCTTGCCCCCCCCGTTTCCTCGCCCCTCCTGCACCCGCAGCTACGGAAGCGGGGGCGGAGGGCCGGGCCTCGTGCTCTCGTGTTCGCCCCCCGTCCCCCCCCTCTCCTCGAGGGGGGAAGGGATGGAGAGGTGTAAGAGGAGCGCACGTCGGACGACGAGGAGGAGAGGAGGAGGGAGAGGAGGAGGGAGAGGGAGCGGGGAGAGGGAGAGGGAGAGGGAGAGGGAGAGGGAGAGAGAGAGACGAAAGAGGAGGAGGCGGAGGAAGAGGAGGACGAGGAGGAGGCGGAGGAGGAGGATGAGCAGGACGAGGAGGAGGACGAGGAGGAGGAGGAGGAGGAGGAGGAGGAGGAGCAGTGTACACCCTCCCTCTAAGTTCCCTCCCTCCAAGTTCCACCTTCCCTCCAAGTTCCATTCTCCCTCCCTCCAAGCTTCATCCTCATAGGTCGCTGCAGTAATAGATGCTCACTGTTTGAAGTGCCCCGTTGGAAGACAAGCACCTGAGAATCCTCACCCGTGCCAAAACACCACTCCTTGGACTTCAACGCCGCGAATCAGCTTTTCTGTAGCGTCCTGGAGATCCTGCATCGTGCCTGGGACTTCAACACCGCGAATCAACGTAACTGGTGCGCCCTGACGATCCTACGCAAATCGCGCCACAACACCATTCCGTGGACTGTAAGTGTAATACTCCGTTCGGCTTTGTTAGACTTTGAAGACGAATGTGCGCGGCGCCAAGGCGAGAGCCGCATTTTGAGGTCCGGGAAGCCCACCATCCGCGGAACTCCTGCGAACTTTCGAGACGAATGTGCGCGGCGTTGAGGCGAGAGCCACATTCTGACAACGACCCGCCCTCCGTCCGCGATGCTCTTGCGAACTTGAAAGGCGAATGTACGTGCCGCTACGCCGAGGGCCACAGTTTTTCAAACAGCAACCTCCTCCTCCTCCTTCTCCTCCTCCTCCCCCTCCTCCTCCTCCTCCTCCTCCCCCTCCTCCTCCTCCTCCTCCTCCTCCTCCTCCTCCTCCTCCTCCTCCCCCTCCTCCCCCTCCTCCTCTCCTCCTCCTCCTCCTCCTCCTCCTCCTCCTCCTCCTCCTCCTCCTCCTCCTCCTCCTCCCGTGAAGCTCTGCAAGCTTTCGCAGCGAATCTGCGCGGCTCTGAGGCGAGAGCCGCGCTCAGAAAGACCGACCCGCCCTCCAGCCGCGAAGCTCTCGTGCTCCCCTCCAGTTCGTTCGAGTGCGCGGTCCGCCGGGGCGAGGGCCGCATGTTGAGAACGATCTGCCCTCCAGCCGTGCTTCTCTTGCAGGCTTTACCCATCGGTCGTTGGAAGTAGGTATTTTTGGATTCCCAGATTCCAATCTACTTTCAGCGCCTTCCTACTTCAAGAGTCGAGTGGCTTTCCCTCTTCCTTCCTCTTCAGGAGGCGTGCGGAAACCCAATCTATTTCCAACGCCTTCCTACTTCATGTTTCTACCTACTTCTTCCGACCGATGGGTACGGTCGAGGCGCTGAAGAAGGAATCCTTTTCGTTGGGGAGGGGCTCGGTGTTCCTTGATCGTTGCAAAGGTTGCCTCGGGTTTTCCCGAGGTTTTCCATGGGAAGCCGAAGTTGAACTCATAGGAAAAGGGGCCTCGTTCCTTATTCAGGGTTCCTTAGGTCAACGCCCCGTCTGTAAGCTCCAGGATCCTGCATGGTGAGGACGTGCCAGGCGAAACGCCCGGCCCGCCCTACCGCCGCGTCCTGGGGTGCAGCAGGGAGGAGCTGCCGTCGAAGCTGGTGATCGGGATGGGTGATCTTTCCAAGGGTGCCCTTGCATCCTTGCCTCCTCCGCCCATCCTGAACCCTTGTCGATGGCCAACCCCGCTCGACAAGCTTCGACGTGAACGTCCGAGGCCTCGCATTCTTACGCGCCGGCCGGGTCGAGCGGTAGTCCCGCTTCCCTCCGCTTCATGGGGGTGGGCGGAGACCCGATCTACTTCGAACGCCTTCCTACTTGATGTTTCTACACACTCCTTTCGACCAACGGCTATCGTGCATCCTTACCATCAGTTCTGACCGTCGCTCCTGTGCGGGTGCCTGACACGTGTGACATTTCGACCCACTTGGAGCAGATGTTTGGGGCCTCTTGCGGGGTTCCTCGGGCTGCCTGTCGACGTGCTGTGATCCGTGGCGTTTCTTTGGCGTCAGTGGCCTGTCCTGAGCTTCTGAGAGGCTGTCTTGGGGTAGTTGTAAGTGGGGTTGCAACTCCTGAGAGGTCAAATTTTGATTTTGCCCTGGCCCGAAATCCAGCTTATTCCGGCTTGATCCCGCTTAATCAGGCTTGATCCCGCTCAGTCTGGCTGAATCCCGCTTCATCCGCGGCTGATTCCAGCGTAGCAACCCCCCGTGGGGCTTCATTCTCTTCAAGTCTTCCGACGAAGGCCTCCCAGTAGTTGCCTCCTGAAGCTTCACGGAACAGGCATGGAGGACTTTCGGTAGCAAATCACGGGAGCCTTGTGTACCCTCGCAATTCCGTCTTCAGCGCCGACTAGCGCCGATTCGCGTTTGGGAGCCGATGGGACAGCGCCGATTCAGCGTCGATTCGCGTCGATTTCGCGTCGACGAGCGTCGATCTCGCAAGCGCCGACAAGATGGCACAGGAGGCTCCCATGAGTTGCCACCGGACACCAGGGCGCCCTCGAGGGCGCGAAGTTCTTCGCGCTTCGCGGTTGGGCTCCGATTCCTCCTCATCCTTCTCCTCTCCCTTGGGAGGCGTCTCGAGAGCGCGAAGTTACAGTCGGGGCCCTGAAGAAGGAACCCTTTTCGTTGGGGAGGGGCTCCGCGTTCCTTAAGTGTTTCACAGCTTGCCTCAGGGTTTCCTTATGTTTTCGATAGGCAACCGAAGTTTACCTTATGGACAAAAAGGGGCCTCGTTCCTTATTTAGGGTGCCTTAGGTCAACGCCCCGACTGTATTCGCACTTCGCGCTTCGCGCAGCGCGAAGCGCGACGTCGGGGGCCCTTGGAGCAGGGCAGGGCTCGACGAGGGGCCCCGTCGCGGGCCCCCGCGCCGCCCAGTGACCGCCCGTCGGGGGCGGCCTCCCCCGGGCTCCTCCGGGGAGGGGGGGGCACGGCGTGGCGGCCGGCTGGGGGCCCGAGGTGCCCCAGCGGCGGTGCGGGCCAGCAGGAAGGGAGGGAAGAGGTGGGAGGCTGGATGATGCTGATGACGACGATGACGATGACGATGATGACGATGACGACGATGATGATGACGATGATGATGATGATGATGACGACGAAGATGATGATGACGATGCTGATGATGATGATGGTGATGATGGTGGTGGTGATGGTGATGATGATGATGCTGATGGTGATGATGATGATGATGAGGAGGAGGAGGATGATGAGGAGGATGATGATGATGATGATGATGACGACGATGGTGATGATGGTGGTGGTGGTGGTGGCGATGATGATGATGATGGTGGTGGTGGTGGTGGAGATGATGCTGTTTATGCTGATGACGACGATGATGATGAATTTTATGATGATGACGATGATGATGATGCTGATGATGATGATGATGATGGTGATGGTGACGATGATGATGATGAT